AAAGTGGAGCGAAAGAAGAGAGAAACGAAAGACAAAGAGAAACAAGAAAAAAAGAGAATTAAAAAAAGCAGCGACCTTCTGCTGATTTCTGTGCGCCTGGTATCCCAGATTTGAATTAAACCGTTTTCTGCCTTTTGAGCGGTGGAAAGTGGAGGCTGAAAATAAGAAAAAGTGGAGCGAAAGAAGAGAGAAACGAAAGACAAAGAGAAACAAGAAAAAAAGAGAATTAAAAAAAAAGCAGCGACCTTCTGCTGATTTCTGAGCGCCTGGTATCTCAGATTTGAATTTAACCGTTTTCTGCCATTTGAGCAGTGGAAAGTGGAGGCAGAAAATGAGAAAAATTAGAGCGAAAGAAGAGAGAAACGAAAGACAAAGAGAAACAAGAAAAAAAGAGAATTAAAAAGAGCAGCGACCTTCTGCTGATTTCTGTGCGCCTGGTATCTCAGATTTGAATTTAACCGTTTTCTGCCATTTAAGCAGTGGAAAGTGGAGGCAGAAAATGAGAAAAATTAGAGCGAAAGAAGAGAGAAACGAAAGACAAAGAGAAACAAGAAAAAAAGAGATAAAAGGAGCAGCGACCTTCTGCTGATTTCTGTGCGCCTGGTATCTCAGATTTGAATTTAACCGTTTTCTGCCATTTGAGCGGTGGAAAGTGGAGGCAGAAAATGAGAAAAATTAGAGCGAATGAAGAGAGCAAAGAAAGACAAAGAGAAACAAGAAAAAAAAGAGAATTAAAAAAAGCAGCGACCTTCTGCTGATTTCTGTGCGCCTGGTATCCAGATTTGAATTAAACCGTTTTCTGCCTTTTGAGCGGTGGAAAGTGGAGGCTGAAAATAAGAAAAAGTGGAGCGAAAGAATAGAGAAACGAAAGATAAAGAGAAACAAGAAAAAAAGAGAATTTAAAAAAAGCAGCGACCTTCTGCTGATTTCTGAGCGCCTGGTATCTCAGATTTGAATTAAACCGTTTTCTGCCTTTTGAGCGGTGGAAAGTGGAGGCTGAAAATAAGAAAAATTAGAGCGAAAGAAGAGAGAAACGAAAGACAAAGAGAAACAAGAAAAAAAGAGAATTAAAAAGAGCAGCGACCTTCTGCTGATTTCTGTGCGCCTGGTATCTCAGATTTGAATTTAACCGTTTTCTGCCATTTGAGCGGTGGAATGTGGCGGCAGAAAATGAGAAAAATTAGAGCGAATGAAGAGAGCAAAGAAAGACAAAGAGAAACAAGAAAAAAAAGAGAATTAAAAAAAGCAGCGACCTTCTGCTGATTTCTGTGCGCCTGGTATCTCAGATTTGAATTTAACCGTTTTCTGCCATTTGAGCGGTGGAAAGTGGAGGCTGAAAATAAGAAAAAGTGGAGCGAAAGAAGAGAGAAACGAAAGACAAAGAGAAACAAGAAAAAAAGAGAATTAAAAAAAAGCAGCGACCTTCTGCTGATTTCTGTGCGCCTGGTATCTCAGATTTGAATTTAACCGTTTTCTGCCATTTGAGCGGTGGAAAGTGGAGGCAGAAAATGAGAAAAATTAGAGCGAATGAAGAGAGCAAAGAAAGACAAAGAGAAACAAGAAAAAAAAAGAGAATTAAAAAAAGCAGCGACCTTCTGCTGATTTCTGTGCGCCTGGTATCTCAGATTTGAATTTAACCGTTTTCTGCCATTAGAGTGGTGGAAATGGAGGCAGAAAATGAGAAAAATTAGAGCGAAAGAAGAGAGAAACGAAAGACAAAGAGAAACAAGAAAAAAAGAGAATTAAAAAAAGCAGCGACCTTCTGCTGATTTCTGAGCGCCTGGTATCTCAGATTTGAATTTAACCGTTTTCTGCCATTAGAGTGGTGGAAATGGAGGCAGAAAATGAGAAAAATTAGAGCGAAAGAAGAGAGAAACGAAAGACAAAGAGAAACAAGAAAAAAAGAGAATTAAAAAAAGCAGCGACCTTCTGCTGATTTCTGTGCGCCTGGTATCTCAGATTTGAATTTAACCGTTTTCTGCCATTTGAGCGGTGGAAAGTGGAGGCTGAAAATAAGAAAAAGTGGAGCGAAAGAAGAGAGAAACGAAAGACAAAGAGAAACAAGAAAAAAAGAGAATTAAAAAAAAGCAGCGACCTTCTGCTGATTTCTGTGCGCCTGGTATCTCAGATTTGAATTTAACCGTTTTCTGCCATTTGAGCGGTGGAAAGTGGAGGCAGAAAATGAGAAAAATTAGAGCGAATGAAGAGAGCAAAGAAAGACAAAGAGAAACAAGAAAAAAAAGAGAATTAAAAAAAGCAGCGACCTTCTGCTGATTTCTGTGCGCCTGGTATCTCAGATTTGAATTTAACCGTTTTCTGCCATTAGAGTGGTGGAAATGGAGGCAGAAAATGAGAAAAATTAGAGCGAATGAAGAGAGCAAAGAAAGACAAAGAGAAACAAGAAAAAAAAGAGAATTAAAAAAAGCAGCGACCTTCTGCTGATTTCTGTGCGCCTGGTATCTCAGATTTGAATTTAACCGTTTTCTGCCATTAGAGTGGTGGAAATGGAGGCAGAAAATGAGAAAAATTAGAGCGAAAGAAGAGAGAAACGAAAGACAAAGAGAAACAAGAAAAAAAGAGAATTAAAAAGAGCAGCGACCTTCTGCTGATTTCTGAGCGCCTGGTATCTCAGATTTGAATTAAACCGTTTTCTGCCTTTTGAGCGGTGGAAAGTGGAGGCTGAAAATAAGAAAAATTAGAGCGAAAGAAGAGAGAAACGAAAGACAAAGAGAAACAAGAAAAAAAGAGAATTAAAAAGAGCAGCGACCTTCTGCTGATTTCTGTGCGCCTGGTATCTCAGATTTGAATTTAACCGTTTTCTGCCATTTGAGCGGTGGAAAGTGGAGGCAGAAAATGAGAAAAATTAGAGCGAATGAAGAGAGCAAAGAAAGACAAAGAGAAACAAGAAAAAAAGGAGAATTAAAAAAAAGCAGCGACCTTCTGCTGATTTCTGTGCGCCTGGTATCCCAGATTTGAAATTAAACCGTTTTCTGCCTTTTGAGCGGTGGAAAGTGGAGGCTGAAAATAAGAAAAATTAGAGCGAAAGAAGAGAGAAACGAAAGACAAAGAGAAACAAGAAAAAAAGAGAATTAAAAAAAAGCAGCGACCTTCTGCTGATTTCTGTGCGCCTGGTATCTCAGATTTGAATTTAACCGTTTTCTGCCATTTGAGCGGTGGAAAGTGGAGGCAGAAAATGAGAAAAATTAGAACGAAAAAAGAGAGCAATGAAAGACAAAGAGAAACAAGAAAAAAAGAGAATTTAGAAAAAGCAGCGACCTTCTGCTGATTTCTGTGCGCCTGGTATCTCAGATTTGAATTTAGCCGTTTTCTGCCATTTGAGCGGTGGAAAGTGGAGGCAGAAAATGAGAAAAATTAGAACTAAAAAAGAGAGCAACGAAAGACAAAGAGAAACAAGAAAAAAAAAAGAATTTAAAAAAGCAGCGACCTTCTGCTGATTTCTGTGCGCCTGGTATCTCAGATTTGAATTTAACCGTTTTCTGCCATTTGAGCGGTGGAAAGTGGAGGCAGAAAATGAGAAAAATTAGAGCGAAAGAAGAGAGAAACGAAAGATAAAGAGAAACAAGAAAAAAAGAGAATTAAAAAAAGCAGCGACCTTCTGCTGATTTCTGTGCGCCTGGTATCCCAGATTTGAATTAAACCGTTTTCTGCCTTTTGAGCGGTGGAAAGTGGAGGCTGAAAATAAGAAAAATTAGAGCGAAAGAAGAGAGAAACGAAAGATAAAGAGAAACAAGAAAAAAAGAGAATTAAAAAAAGCAGCGACCTTCTGCTGATTTCTGTGCGCCTGGTATCTCAGATTTGAATTTAGCCGTTTTCTGCCATTTAAGCGGTGGAAAGTGGAGGCAGAAAATGAGAAAAATTAGAACTAAAAAAGAGAGCAACGAAAGACAAAGAGAAAGAAGAAAAAAAGAGAATTTAAAAAAAGCAGCGACCTTCTGCTGATTTCTGTGCGCCTGGTATCTCAGATTTGAATTTAACCGTTTTCTGCCATTTGAGCGGAGGAAGCTCCGAAGCTTTGCATACTTATCGCACTCACTGGCAGAGTCAGAGATGGTCAGAGACATCCCATCGCAACCCCCCCAACACCGCCAAGCCATCATGCGGAAGCGCCCACGGAATAAGTGCCACAGATAACTTGGGGTATTTTTACTATCTTGGCACGTGATTGAATGTATCTCAAATCATTCATGGAAAGAATGAAATCGCGGCAGAAAAGAGTATTGCCAAAACGGAAGTTCCATCAACAAAAGAAAATAGCAAAATAAAACAAAAATAAAATAATTCAAATCCCAATGGAAATATCAATTAATGATTTTCGTTTAGTAAGATAAGATAATAAATATTCCAAGAACTCTGGGTAAGATAATGCTAAAGGGTCCTAATGAGCTGCCAGCAGTAACATCCCCAAAAAGGTAAACACTTTCCAAATAATCGAAATAGCTAATATACGCCATAAATTGCAAAGATCCATCAATGACAAGAGCGGTCAGGGGAGCGGCTAAGCAATGTTTTCTGAAAGATATCTAAATAAATAAATACGCGTATCTGCCAGGAAATGTACCATGTTCAGGCAGTTAAACAGCCTGTAAACAAATTAGAGAATGATCATGGATATTCGGCACAAATCCTACTCGTATCGAACCCCAAGGATCTTGGCATTTCGCTCCACATTTCTGTCATTCTTCTTTCAAATCAATTTTAAGATCAGCAAACTCACTTGGTGACTTCTTTTGAGCAGGCTAATTTGTCAGTGGACACAGAGCCATAATGGCCAGGCGGGCAGGCAGTGATAAGATAGACAGGCGATCCATCCATCGAACGGACAAACCGAACAGACCGGACTTTACCGTACCATACCATACCATAATGGTTTCCTTATCGCTATGACGGATAATGCCAATAAAATAGATTTTACCCTCATACGCAAAAACCACTTGAAAAACCCATCAAGATGCGTAGATATTTTTTCAAATAAATTATTATTAATTATTATACAATTTATTCACTCAACAGAAAAAAAAAATGTAACAAAAAAAAAATGGAGTACAGTTTGGGGTTTACAAACGAGCATCGAGGATAGTTTTATTGCTTCTGTTCTCTCTCTCTCTCTCTCTCTTCCACTAGCTCTTGCTCTGGCCCTATGAGCGACTCTCTGCGACTCTCTCTCTCTCTTCTTCTAGGCTGTGCAGTCGTAATCGTTGGAACAGTAGGAAACCAAAGGATCGAACTGCATATCGCCGGGACACTTGTAGACGACCGAGTGCAGATCCTTGCCATCGTCGTAGCAAATGACGAACTCGTTGCAGCTCTGATCCTTGGGGAAGAAGCCTGCGGAGGGACAATCGAGCACCTCGGTGGCGGATGTGCCGTCGTCGGTGGAGGCAGTGCCAGTGCCATCATCATCATCATCGGTGGAGTTCGTGACATCTGAAGAGGGTTCATCGGTAGAGGGGGTTTCATCGGTACTGATATTCGAATCAGTGGTCACATCAGCCGGATTCTCTGAGGTATCCGAAGAGGGTTCGTCGGTGGATGGGTCAGCAGTGGAAGAACCATCGCTAGAGGGTGCATCGGTTGAGGAGGGTGCATCGGTTGAGGAGGGTGCATCGGTTGAGGAAGGTGCATCGGTTGAGGAGGGTGCATCGGTACTAATTGGGGCATCAGTGGTCACATCAGCCGGCTTCTCCGTGGTATCCGTGGAGACCCCATCGGTGGTGATCGTCGATTCAGTGGTTTCCACAGCCGGTTCCTCCGAGGTCTCTCCCGCGGCTTCCTTGGTTGGGATCGGCGCTTCGGTGGTTCTGTCAGCCGGCTTTGCCGAGGTGCTGGTGCTATCATCCAAATTGCTGGGCGGAATCGTTGGATTCTCAATGTTGCCACCGTCTCGTGCCAGCAGCGACAAGTCCGACACTTCCATGCATTGGCCAGCCTTGGAGCTGAAGACGGCGCCGGCCGAACAGCGCAGCAGCTGCAGGGAGTAGCCTCCAGCAGGAATGGCACGACAGGCATAGAACTCGGGCGTGTTATCCACAAGGGCAAAGTAGCCGCTCTGGCGGCACAAGGAGGGTACTTTGTAGGCGCTGGCGGATGCCAGCAGCAGGACCACCGCCACAGCGGTGCCCGGGAGCAGGGGAAGCTTCAACATTTTGAGCAGTTTGTGTTTTAATTTCGTTTAGGTTCTCGTTACTTGATTCGACGGACTAACTGGTCGGACCCTTGGCTGGGCTCTTATATAGCCAAAAACGCCGCCCTGTCGCTCCGATCGACGCGGTTCGGCCACAGATAAAAAAAGAATTTTGTGGCGTCTGCAGGCATGACTCCCCCAGATAAGTGATCAACATCAATCGGTGGCCCGAGGCCTTATCTGCGCGGGGTGGGGAGCTATCTTTCAAGGAATCGTATGGTATCTCTAGTTAATTTGAGTGCTTACCTTAGTTAGCTTAGTAAACGCCAAGCCCGGAGACTGCCATTCATACTACCAATGAGTAGAAAATTCCACTTCAATTTTTGTTCGAAGCTTCGTGGTACAGAAAAACAAAATCACGAAAATCCGTTGCCAGAGCAAACTGGTTCCCGTGCGCGAGACTGTACCCTTGCTCATGCTCAACACAAACAACTTTTTATTGTTTTATTGGAGTCCCCTTCTGAAGCATTCGCTTCAAGGGGCTGGGAATCGAGCATCGATTTGCAGAGTATTTCGGTTTGGATATCCTGGGACCGACATTTGCGAGTGTATGGAGACAGAACTCGCAGTTTTCTTGTTATTTTTGGTTGATTTGGCAGCAGTCGTATTTGGGGATTATAAATTAATTTATTTAATTTAGAAATGTGCACGAAATAAATTTCCAATCAAATAAATCTAAACATAAGACATTAGAAAATAAAGTAAAACTATTTCCCGCGCATTCAAATTTGTATTTATGCATGTGCTATATTTACAAATATTATTTTTAAAATTAGACCTACGATTTATAGCAACTTGAGCACGAAATTGTGTGATTTGCATTACCCAGATGAATGGCTGACTGATAAATAATTCCAAGAATCGTATCTGGCAGAAAGTATATTTTGGTTTCTGTTTTCCGTTCTAAGATTTATCCTAAGCCTAAATCATTAGATAAGATTCCGCCTGAATGGAGCACGTAGCGAAGAATTCTCGAGAGATTCTGCCTGTTCCGAGAATCCCTTGTATCTCTCCACAAAGATTTAGATATTGTTTCTCTAGTTTCCAGAGCTTTATTAATACCAATATAATAACAAAAAAAAAAAAAAAAATACACAAAAATGAGGAGGGCAATGGACCAACGTGCTGCAAGAGGAGCTCCTGTTCTCGGTTCTCAACTCTCAATCAAAATGGCTACGGGGCTACGACTACTCGTCGGACTCGGCGCTCTCAATGGACTTGCCCTTGTTGGCCTCCTTGTCGAGCTTGGCCTGCTCCTTGGCCGCCTTGGCAGCCTCCTTTTCGGCCTTGGCCTGCTGTTTGGCCAGCTCCTTGGCCGCCTTCTTGGCCGCCTGCTCCTCGAGCTTCTGCTGCTTGCGGGCCAGCTTCTCCTGCTCCTTGAGGGCCTTCAGACGCAGCTTCTCCTCCGCCTTGTAGAGCTTCAGCTCCCGCTTGATGGCCGCCAAATCGCTCAGCTCCAGCGACTCCTGTCCTGGCACAATCTGGGTCCAGTCGTACCGCCAGCAGCTGCCAATCAATGGCTCGAACCTCTGGCCGCTGGAGCAGCGCACAATGAACTTGTGGAGTCCGCCCTGCAGGCTGGCCACGCAGCTATAGTAGTAGGTGTCATCGTGGCCAGCGTAGCGGCCCACCGCCAAGCACTCGAACTCGTCGTCCTTGCACACGGACACATCCCGCACACAGCGTCCCAGCTGGGGCGAGAAGGCCGTCAGCGGGGGGCACACTGTCTCCTGCTCTTGCAGCAGGCGCAGCAGCGGATTCCACAGGCAGTTGTGGTAGCGCCTGCAGTCACCGCCGATATGCGGAAAGAGTCCTGCCGTCTGGCACTCGAAGACGGGCGGCGCGGGCGCAGGAGTCAAGGTGGTGCCCAGTGCGGGCTCCTCAGTGGTGGTTTCCGTTGACTCTGCGCCGGCACCAGCGGTGGTGCTGTCGGGCTGGTTGGGAGCCTGGGAGGTGGTGCTCTCAGACTGAACGGGGGCTGTTGTGGTGGTTTCTGGCTCAAGAGGAGCTCCTGTGGTGCTCTCAGACTCAACGGGGTTGTTGTGGTGGTTTCTGGCTCAAGAGGAGCTCCTGTGGTGCTCTCAGGCTCAACGGGCGCAGCTGTGGTGGTCTCTTCAGCGGGTGCGGATGTCTCCTGCGCAGATGCGGTGGTTGTCTCTGCCTCCTCTGGCGTGGTTGTCTCCTGTTCAGGCGTTGTGGATTCCGTCTCGATGGTTGTCTCTGTCGTCTCTTCCTCCTGAATGGTCGTGGGGGTGGGGGTGGTGATTGTCTCCCAGCCGCTGCCCTCGGTTGTGGTTGAGGCATCGTTCCAGGGTTCGGCCTGGCCCAGCTGGCTGTTGCCATCGCCGCTGAGTGCCAGGATGCCGCAGGACTTTGTCAGCAGCTGCAATTGGTTACCAACGGGTCATTCCCCCAATCCTCAGCCTCTCAATCTACGGATACACTTACCAGGGCGGCGCAGAGCAGCAGTATGGAGGTGGCCATCGAGAATTTTCCGGACATCGTTCTGCGCACTGTAAAGGTGGTTTGTGTATTTCTGGTTGTGGTTGTGGTTGTCGTTGTCATCGTTGCCAGTGGCTAACGTCGGTCGATCGTTGTATGAGCTAGTGACACGGCCACCGCTCGGTTATATAGCGAAAAAGTCTTTGGGATGCTGTGTGGCCTTATCTATCGGGCTTAGCACCTTGCCATCACATCATCAGATACTGTGGCTACGGCCTACGGCTGCGGTTACGGCTACGGCTACGGCTACGGCTATGGGTACGGGCTATGGGTATATGGGTGCAAATAAAATAATTTGTTGTTCCCCGCATCTCTGACGTCTCCGGATAAATTGCAAAATACAGTTGTAAACCCATAAAAGCCCACAGCCACCACAGCCACCACCACCTCGTCAGTCCACGGATATGAAACGGAAGTGTGTAAAGATATCACGGTGATAGATCTCTCCCTCTCTCTCTTTCTCTCTCTATCTCCCTGGAGATAAGTGTCTGGGGAGCAATGGGGAGTGGAGGTCAAGCGGCGGGCAAGATAGCCATTTGTTTGCACTCTGATTTTTTGCTACTGTTTTTGTTTAATGTCACGATACGGATACGATACTACGAGTACTATATACATGCATATGCATGTACATACATATGTCCGAGAGATTGTCCGAGAATAACCAAAACAAAAGCACCCCGAAGAGTGGGTGACGCATCCCAGTTCCACTCTCGAAGCTGAACCAAAATCCCCACCCAATCTTAAGCTGTCTATCTTTTGATATACAAATATATATACATATCTTCTATCTGTACCAGTTTTCGGCAGATTGTGTGGAAAATCACAAAAAGTACAAGTACCAAAATCTACAAATGCAACAGGGAGGCAACGTCTCCTTATATATTCATTATAATTATATTATAAATATTATTAAGTACCTAAATAATTATTTACTTGACTGCATCTGATCTGCAATTTGCTTAAACTGCATTCTGCACTGCTTCCAAATGGCAGATTTCATTTCTAACTTTCAATATGAAGGCATTCGACATAGAAATGATTATTTAATTATAATGATTCGACTCCCTAAGGAGTCTAACTCCCTAACTCCCTGCAACCCCTATGTGGAGAAAGATAACATAAATATCTTAACGAATGATTCATTGATGTGCTGCTCCAATTTCCCATAAGCGAACAGAAGCCATTCGGATGCTGATACTATGTATACAAGGAAAAATGTTTTAAGTTCTAGTTCTAAAATGATTCTAGAATTTTCATAAACTAAATAGGATATTTATAATTGCTTCGCAAGAAATAAAAGAACTTATTTAATAATTAATAGCATTTAGTGAACGATTTATTTATTTGGTCTGCTATTTTGTTCTAGTGATAAAAGATTTACTTATATGTATGCAAGGAACTAGTCACAAAACTTAGTTGAATCTTATATGTCCATATTATCCATAAATCTGTTAATCTATGTAGCTATAATCTTATACGAGTATTTGCTATATTTGGAAGTTTTTATTTGAAGGGAACGGGACAGTTGCCATTACCGCGTGAACGCTGAAGGTAACCCCACGCTCATTCGCGAAAAGTGGATCCTAAGTGGATCCTCTCTTACTCTCCTAAATAATCCATGCTACCGCATGATCCTCTCGCTCTCTATCTCTCTCAGTCTTATATTCCATATGCGAAAGCAATCCCTAAACACACTTCCACACAGCTGCCACACAATGGCTGACCCCATTTTGGCCAGAAGAGGCGTTGGTTAGGTGGGTGGGCACTGGAATACCTACCACCTACCACCCAGACAATACCTTCCACAAACGAGTGCTCGGCATTTATCTGCGTGTCGACTAGTGCAGAATCATTTGGCTCGTCTCTAGCTAATGGCTATGGCTGTGGCTATGGGCGTTCTGCGTATGTCTGGCCATAAACATAATCCTCTGCTAACGATGGGGCTGTGGGGCTGTGCGGCTGGCTGACGGAGTTGCAGGCAAAACAAAACGCTTTGCATATCTGACGTTAATCTGACGGGACGGCTACACATGCATCAGTGTGTGGACAGAGATAGGGATACCATACCGATGTACGGATACGGGTACAGGTACGGGTACGGGTTTGGATATCTCTGGTTGTGGGTGAGTGATAAGAGTTGATTGTTATCAGAACCGAACCGAACCCCCTCTCGGCGTCTGCTGGCAGGGCGTCTCTCTCTCTCTCTCTCTCTGTGTGGGGCACTCTGTGTGTGGGTGAGGCGCTCTCGGTTGGCCATTACCTAAGCGGATTTGAGGCTTGGTAAATGATGATGTCTGCTCACGGCTAGACGGAACGGACCGCATACAAAACACATCACATCCCATCACATCACAGAGCGCCCAGACAAAAGGGATACGGATACGGATACGGATCGAAAGCAGCTTTCCAGAGGCCTTCAATTCGAGAGGAACGACAACGGATGGCAACGCCCAAAGGGAGGGACAGGGATACGGAGTACATGGCAGCGCCTACAGGGATTACAAATGTGGCAGTGGGCGTGGGTGGTGGTGTGCGTCGACCCACTGCCCGGGCCACCGCTGGCATCCAGCGACGGCGTGTCGTGAAGAAGCACATCCAACAGAAGTACATGCTCTGCGGCTTTGCAATACACGTAAATCTCTCTCTCTCCCTCTCTGTCTCTCTCTTGCATTAAAATCTGTCTTCATTCTCTCTCTCTCTCTCTCTCTCACTCACGCTCTTGCAGGCCTTTCTGGCAACGCCGGCCTACTTGTACGGCAACGTTGTGGAATCGGACAAGGATCTGGTGCTGCGTATTTGGCCCGCCATTGTCTACCAGGCGACGGGCGAGCTCTGCCGCTCGATTATGGAGCATCTGGACACAGAGTATGGGGGTCGCTCCAGGGAGACGACACAGTACCGGCGAGTCTTCCTGCTGGCCACCCTCATTGCCTGCCTGTCCCTGATGATAAGCGGCATTTTGTTCTCCTCCGCCTGGATTGTGGTGACCACCACCACGCAGGCGGTGGCCATTGTCTTCTATGGCTGCTTTGCGGGCATTGGCTCCAGCCTGTATCTGTGGAAGACCCATGTCATACTGGAGGCAGTGCGTCCGCGGGAGGACAAATATGTGCGCAAGACGATCCACCTGTGCGGCGAGGCCTTCTGCCAGCTCTTCCTCTCGTTCGTCTTCACCAGCCTGCGCACCCTCTATGGCACCGCCCAGTCGATTGTCCTGATGTCCGCGCTGCTGGTCAACCTCATACCCCTCAGCCTGATCATCACCAAGCATCGGGAGGATGCCTTCACCACCAAGCGCATATCGGTGATCAAAGCGGAGACGGGTTTTGGCGCCCTCCCACTGCGAGCGGCGCTTGCGGCCAATTTGGTGGCTGATCAGATGGATGGCCTGGAGATGCTCTCGTGGCGCAATCCCGCCACGGAGATGGTGGCCACACCTGGGGCGGCTGTGGTGGCCGCCGCCGTTGTGGACACGCACAGCAACTATATGCTGGCCACGGATGAGGCGTATGTGACGTATGTGAATCCCAATGGCGTGGAGATCATGGAGATCATACCCGAGGAGGATGAGACGGTGTCCATGATGCGCTCCAGCAATGCCACCATCGATAACTATGGCATGTCCGTGTCCCAGATGTCACACAAGTCCCTATCCAATGGCCGCCTCTATCCGCAGAATACGCCGCTCAATCCGGGCACAGGCACGGGCAACTCCTCCCCGCTGCCACCCACCAATCATGCCAATCTGGTGAGTCCTTGGACATGAACCACCACCCCACCCCAGCCCTGCTGCTCCCTTGCTAATGCTCCGTCCACCCTGTAATCCCAAGCAGCATCGCATACGTCGCATGTCGAGGGCCGTGACCTCACATCTATGGTGGAATCTGCTGGACAAGATTGCCATGCCGCTGCAGCAGGCGCTGCTCGTGCCGCAGCTGTATGCCACCACCCTGCTCCTCTCGGCGGACATTTTCAGCTATGTGATGTGCCTGACAGTGCTCCCCGGACTGGCGGTCTCGCACCATGCCCTCAAAAATGCTGAGATTCCGTTTCTGTTCTCGCTGCTGGCCTTCCCCTGGATGTGCTTCTCGCTGATGACGCCTCGCTTCGGGACGAGCCTCTACAAGCACAAGCTCCAGTGGCACACCATGGGCAGCATATGCAAGTGCCTGGCACTGATCTGTGAGTGTGGCATCTTCTCCTCCCCCAATCCTAGCCAGCAGACTAATCCCCTTCCTCCACCTACCCCCTCACAGTCATCAGCTTCTCCACGTCCAAGCTCCTGCTGAGCGTCTCCGCTGTATTGCTGGGCTTTGGCCAGGTGGTCACCGCCTTTCTGCAGGAGCTCGTCTTCCAGATGGGCATGACGCGGGCCAATTGGACGGCCATACGGCGGCCAGTGCACTTCACCAACGGCCTGCTGATCCTCGTTTGGGGCGCCCTGGCCCACTGGGTGGTCGTGCGGTACTCCTTCCAAGCCACAGTGGGCCTAGCCGGGGCCCTCTACGGAGCGACAACACTGCTCTGGAATTTCCTCTTCTTCTGCTGCCAGGGCAGCGATTAGGTTCAGTCTTCCTTCTGCTCCTCCTCCTCCTCCTTCTGCTTCCCCACTTCCTTCGTATCTCTTGGGAGCTGTTGTTGCTGTTCTTGTGCTTTCCGGTTGTAGCTCGTTGGTGATATTACAAAATAAAGAAATTAACTAAAGAAAACGAGAAGGAACGTGTGAGTCGCTTCTAAAGACGCGACTCTACTTATACCCGTACTCAGTCAGTAATTACATTTTTGAACATATGATTTTTTAGAATTTTAGCATTAAAAAAAAAAATTGTACATTTTACATTTTTTTGCTACATCTGTTATCTACATCTACATATATTGTATATATTCTACATCTAGCATGTAGATTATACATGTACCATTTAGATTCTACATCTCCTCCGCTAGGGGTTGCTCGCGCACTGAACGCGGCAAAGTGTGCGAGCGAGATGGAAAATGAGTTGTGTTGTCGTTGGCTGGAGGAGGCAGGGGAAGCAACTGAAAATTAATTTCGTCATTCTGGCTATAATTATGATCCGATCTGATTCAGATACAGCAGTCTAATAGATATGGGCATTCTCTACGATACTGCTTTTTTAGTTTTAGCGTATCTTGAAAATTGTGCCTGCCACAGATTTTCGTCCGGGGTGGGGCGAAATTTTGAAATACACTTGTAGCAGTGGGATATCACATCAGTCTCGAAATTAAATTTGGTTGCCCTAGCTCTTATAGTCTCTGAGATCTAGGCGCTCAACAAGACAGACAGACGGACAGACGGTCAGACGGACAGACGGATATGGGTATATCGACTCGGCTATTGATGCTGATCAAATATATATACTTTATGGGGTCGGAAACGTTTCCTTCTCTGCGTTACACACATCCACTTTTACCACAAATCTAATATACCCCTTAACTCTTTTTTGAGTAATGGTATAATTAACGGACGATCACAAAAACCCAAAAAGCCCATGCCACGCCCCCTATCCGCCCAGTCATAGGTTTAATGCAGCTCTCTACATGGCATCTACATTGGCAGCGACACCTGCCGAATGTTAGAATGTTGGCACTTTCTTAATGTTACTGTTAAATAACATTTATAACATTAGCGCACAAAAAATAAAGCCGAACAAATTTTCACAGAGGTTTTTCTTTTTCTTATTTTTTGCGGAAAATGTTTCTTCTTCTTCCTCCTTTTTGCGGAAAATGCTTTTCTTCTTCTTTTTAGCGGATTTTTGTTTTTAGGCTGCCAGATAAGTTCAAAGCGAATCGGTAATGAAACGGATCACAAGATGTCATGGTGTGGCTGCCCGCAGCAACTACGAAATGCACGAGTCTGGCAGCGCCAGCAACTCATAAGGGTTTGGGTTTGGCCTTATTATCTAAACAATCCAATAATAAAGATTTCTGAAAACTAGCCAATCCTGAACAAAATTTATTGATGAATTGCATAAAACTATTTGTTTAGGGCTGAGAGGGCCAACTATCTAGTAATATTAAACGGAATATCAAAATCGAGGAATATCAAATATCTTGTCGTGTCAGTCAGTATATTTACGGTATATATTGATACTGAAAAGGTATATTCCTGAGGGTCAGGCGGTATATTTTTTCGATAAATACGCGGTTACACTGTGTCGCACTGACTAGCTCGCTAGAGTTGCCAAATATTAAAAAAATATCGAAATTATTAAATATAAGACCGAAAAAAATATTGGTATATTGACAACCCTATAGCACGCCAAAAAGTAAAAAAAATTTATTATAGTTGAAAACAGTTCGTGTGTCGTGTCTAGTTTTAATTTTGTGTTTAAATTTTTAAACAATCTTTCAAGCGGTAAGTGAACCAACACAGCGAGCACAATGGCCTGGGAAAGGGGGGGAGTGAAACAATGTAGCCGCGACGCGACGGTCCTTGTTGTGCGCGAAAAGCGGGAAGCCAGAATATGCGTCTGGGCAGCAGTCGGGGCTAAAACAAAAACTTGCAGCCGGCATGCACGGGCAACAACATTCTTTTTGTTTTCTCTTGGCTGCGTGGCTTGAAACAACAAGGAGTAAAATTTCGCATTTTCTTTTTCTTGATCGCTTGCAGATCTTGTGTGCAGGTGAAAACCAACCAACTTGAACCGTATGTCGCATTGGACCGGGGACTTCGGGCAATTAGAAAACGCGCAACATTCTCGTAGCAATGGATCAGCCCATACCCTATGCTATGGCCCAAACACAACGCCGACCCTAAATCAGGCATGCATCGGACAGCAGGGGAAAAACAAACACAATCGCAATCCCAATGTTGATGCAAATGGTAATGAGAATGGCAACGTGCCCCAACACACACAACAACACACAGAACCACACTATGCCACACCACAGCAGCCACAGTCAGCTGCAGTGAAATTTTACGAGCTACAGACACAGCAACAAGAGCAGGAGCAGCAGCAGCAGCAGGCGCCCCAATATAAGACGCATCCCATTGAGCCGGTGCCGTATTATCTTGGTGCATTGCAGATATCTGGCAACACTGCGCGACCAGAACACATTGGATACAATTGTGGATTTGGTGCAAACAACAATAATACACCTAAACCCACACCAAGGAAAAGGAAAATACCGAAGCTTGTACTTAATCCACTATGCAAGGTCTCTAGATCCAGTTTATCACCCGAAGAAACACGTACATATACGCCGCATTCGTGGCTGGAACCAGAGGCCAAATCTGTGAGCCCGCTGACTGGACTAAACGCCGCGATTGAAATTGGAGCGGGTTCGGTGCCAGCGGAGCATCATTTCACACCCGAACAAAAGAAGCCGGAAGGCCAAGAGGAGGAGGAAATTGAGCAAAATCGCCCCTGGCTGGACGACAAGGATGCACAATTACCCACACTTGGCGATCTATTAGTCGATCTCTGGCCCGAACACGATAAAGACCCATATACAACAGAGCAAGGAGAGGAGGCGGAGGACGACGATTTTATTGAAGTGCTGGAACCGACGGACTGTGCTTACACCGTACCGCCGCCAAACATATCAGTCACGTCAAACGAGAAGAGCCAAAAGATAATCGAAGAAATTTCCGACTCGGACTCGGACTCAGACTCCGATTCAGGCTCAGCCTCAGCCTCAGGCTCAGTCTCAGATCCAACCTCAGATCCAGCCTCAGATCCAAACTCAGATCCAAACTCAGATCCAAACTCAGATCCAACCTCAGACTCAAACTCGGACTTAGACGACTCTGTGTTGGTGGAGATTTCGGATTCAGATCAGGAAGAAAGTCCCCCAAAGAGTTCAGCTTTGTCATCTAAGGCTGGCGAACAGGAGCAAAAGGAGGCTCAGTCGTTATCCAATGAGCCACCTATCTACACACTAACACACCACGATAACGGAAAGAAGGAGGAGGCGTATCCCTCGGTATCCACAGACACAGTGGAGGACAACATTGTCCTACACACGCTTGAACTGCCAGCAGAGGGGCTGCAATTAGCCGTCGAACAGAATCTACAGTCCAGGCAGCCAACGGCTGGAGAAGAACACCCAGCGACAGAGCAACAGCCAGAGACGGAGACGGAGACAGAGGCACTGTCATTGGAACTAGCTGTCCTCGTAGCTAACGTGGATATATCACAGCCAGACGAAAAGGTTCCCGATCAAAAACCGAAGAAACACCTCGTTGAAACCATTTACCTGACGCTACACGTAATTGGGGCGACAATCAAGCGGATACGGAGCCCGCCCTCCAAGCACCATCTAAAAGAAATTGTACACTGCAAGGAAAAACTCTTTGAGCTGTGGAAGCAGCTGATATTGGTGTCGGAGCCCGAACTGTCCGCCGAGCAATTAACGCCATTGATAGCCTTGCATCGGGACATTGAACATATAGAGAGACTTGAAGGCGATTCGATGGGCTTGAACTTGTTGAACAAACTGCGCAACATCTTGAAAGGCTGGACACATCCCAAAGATGAAATAGGGGCAACCGGCGACGAAGCACAGAGTCTACGGTAGGTCAAATGCGGGAATTATAATAATAGGTATCTAATGTTGTCACTGTGTCGTCTCCCAAAGCAGCAACGAAGCTGCAGCCAACGCAGGAACTCAAGGATTAGGCAACCGAACTGACAGGAAGCGTAGGTAAGTGGTCTGCCATTTGATTTCGCACTCAATTGATAGCATAAATGCATTTATTCCAATTTGCTTTTACTTTTACATTCATCTAGTGGCGGGAAATTGGAGAACAGCAGGGCCGTGTCCAAGTATCGCTGTGTGGAGAGCAATTTTCCTAGCATCATTTCGCATCCGATTGCCGATGATATGCCCACCACCAGTGCGTCATCGTCTATGGCTGAACAACACCAGGCATCCGGACCAGTGTCCGTGTCCCGTTTGCAGATACCCTCGGCGGGCAACAAGCGTCTGTCCATCTTTAATGAGCCACGCACAGCGCCCCAAATCGTTCGATATCATGGCCTTGGCAACAATCAAATTGACTTATCCGACGATGATGAGCCGCCAGTCAATGGCTCCATCTTCCAGTCGTTCGCCAGTGGACGCACCACGGCCTCCTCAACCGAATGGGGTCTAAATGGTCAGTCCTCATCCCATGGGAATGCTGCTGCTGCGGCTGCGGCTGGGGCTGCTGCAACCTCGTCGCTTGTACGCCCCTCGATGCTGTATGCGGATGCAGTGCGCCTGGGCCAGAATGGCTATAGCGAGCAGCCGCACACCAGCATGAATGGGCATGGGCATGGGCATGGGCATCATCCGCATCATTCGCATGCCTTGCGCGGATCCCACAACCACAACGAGAGTCTGCTCATGCACGTGGAGCGTCGCTCCGAGCGGGAGCAGTACGCAAATTTCCTCAGCGACGTGGCCTTCAACGAGTTCCGATCGAACCAAACCAGTCGCACAAATTTGCCGCCACTGTTACCCATGACCAGCTGGAACGCCATGCTAAAGAAGAACATGGAGCGTACCAATGCCCACACGCAACACGCTCTAGCCGACCACTCGAGTCAGGTGCAACAGGCCAAGGGGAAGATCGCCAAGCCAATACCACCGCCACCGCCAACGCTGCTGCGCCACTCTGTCTTCTATCTAAACTCCAGTGAAAGCAAATCGGGCAGCAGCAGTCCGCCGCCGCCGCAGCTGCTGTCCGCTCAAGTGTCAATCAAAGCTGCACCACAGCCCGTCATTATTGATCTGGATAGTAGCTCCAATGAGAAACCGTGAGTGGAGGAGTAGACCACACGCTACCCTTGAGCCAAACTTTTAACTGTTTTCTATCCTATCCTTTAAGGGCTGCCAAAAGTGAATCGGATCAGCAGAAGAGACTCCAGGCGATGCAAAAGCGCTTCAGCGAAAGCATCTTCTTCAGCGATGACTACGAGCAGAAGTTCAGGGAGCGCGAGCAGCGTGAGCGCGCTGAAATGGACCATCAGCGTGAGCTGGCACGCATCGAGTACGTATCTACAGCTGCCCTAGGAGGCGGGGGTTATTCATTCGAGTTTTTTAATGATCCAATTCCTTGTCAGGGCTGAAAAACTAACCCAGGAGCGTCGCCGCCTGGAGGCATCATTCCGCTGGACCATTTTAGAGTTGAACCTGGGCTCTTACGCCTTTGAATCGGCTACCGTGGCCGAGGAGACGGAAGCCGAGCTGGAGATTGAGTTTATTCCCATCAGCGAAGCGCAGCAGAAGGAGCTGCTCGATATTGTGACTGGCCCCGATGAAGCTGTAAGCCCCATGCCCCTCTATATCTCGCTCTATTTCATGCTTTGCCACTCACTCTCGCCTCACACTAATTGTGCCTCTTCCTGTTTTGTGTGTGTGTTTGCTTGCAGCCTTTGATCACCAAATATGGGCTGACAATGCTTAAAAAGGATATTCGCACAATGACCGGACTCTTCTGGCTGAACGATGAGGTGATCAATTTCTATATGAATCTGCTCACCGAACGCTCACAGGAGAAGGCGGGCACTCTGCCCAGTGTCTATGCCATGAACACCTTCTTTCTGCCACGCCTACTCAAGGACGGCTTCAATAGCGTGCGGCGCTGGACGCGTAAGATTGATGTGATCAGCAAGGACATCATTGTGGTGCCCGTGCACTGCAATGGCATGCATTGGTGCATTGCCATTATACACTTGAAGAACCGTACCCTCTTCTACTACGACTCACTTGGCAAGCCGAACAACATGGCCCTCGAGGCGCTGAAAAACTACATTAAGGAGGAGTCACTGGACAAACGCAAGCAGCCATATGATATGAGCGACTTTAAGATCGAAAATATTCTAAATGGGCCGCAGCAGACGAACGGCAGTGACTGCGGCGTCTTCAGCTGTATGACAGCAGAATATATATGTCGGGACAAGCCGCTCACATTCAGCCAGGAGCATATGCCGTATTTCAGAAAGAAAATGATACTCGAGATTGTCCACGGGAAGCTGTGGAAATAAGTGTGTCATGCTCCTCGCCAAAAACAAAAATACAGACTACCCCACACAGCGTACACACACACACACACACACACACACTCACACACAATTTAGCATTAAGCATACACTTAGAACTAGTTCTTCGGCAGGCGCACGCATCCCTCCCTCCTATCCTCATGATAATTTAATTGATTTAGACGTCTGACAGCTACACGAAATCACAACTGAAACGAAACAAATTGAAAAGAATTGCAGACGTCTAAATCGAGTGGGATCTGGCCCAGCGTAGGCCAAGAATCCCCATACCCCCCATACACCACAGTTGAACACAAAATTCTACAAGTTACTAAATCTATGATGGCCCATGAACCAAAAGCGCATCAGCAGACAGCAGCAGCAAGCAAGCTATTTAAATATTTTTTTGTTTGATTTGATTTAATTTTTTTTTGGATTTAAAACATTATGAAACAATACGTTAGACGTAGCACGATAAGGAACTTCCTTATGAGCCCTGTACGGGGCTCAATATAATAACAACTACTTTATAAAAACAACAAGCATATAATATTTAACAATAATACACAACTGTATAATATAAATTATTTAAATAAATTCTTTAATACATGACTTTTGGCGCATTTTAGGATGTCATATATCGCATCGAATGTACTGCTATCGATAGTTCATTTATCGCCTCAAAAGTTAGCGGTAAATCCACTGGTTTTTCGGGCGCCAGACCAGTGTGACCTTAGCCTCCTGCGCATTCGTGTGTGTGTGGGTTTTCTGTTACAAAAAAGCAGGTGGGCGAAAAAGTCAAACGGACTACTGGACTGCGAAATATTTAATTTCATCCAAAGCAAATAAAAAAAAAAAAAACGTCAGTTGCGTGTGAGGTGCGCGCGCGGTTCGGCGGCAGCAGCAGGGCATACAAATTATGCGAAAGGGCATCCTCCACAGGCAAACAATTAACAGCAACGACGACGACGCCGCCGACAAATATGCAGAATATACAGAATTCAACAGCAGTAACGTCATCGTCATCCGTGGGAGCGAGGACAGGATGCGGTGCAGCATTGTCATCATCATCATCATCAGCAGCAGCAGATAGCAGCGGGGCAATACCGGAACACAAATCCAGCAAAATCAGTGATGGCGGCGGCGGCGTCTGTGGCGGGTCCAGTGGCGACAGCTGCTCCCTACACGATCCGGCAGCGGCAGCGGTGAGAGCGGCGGGTGCATGATGTGTAACCATGGAAATTGCCTGCTTTTCGATATTACCAGATAATCTGTGTGCCAATAATTGGCTTTTTGTTTGTTTGTTGTTTCTTGATGTTTCTCTGTGCTTGTGTATAGTGTGTGTGGCCAAAAATTATATAACATTAAGCCAAAACCGAAAGGCAGCCAGCGCACGCTTATGACCTGACCCCGCTCCAGCCAGTCGCTGTGTACAATCCATCCCCCTGCCCAGCCACCCTCCTGCCTATGCATAGTGTTTGCCTATTGTGTGTGCGTGGGTGTTCTGTATATGTATGTAAGTGTGTGTGTGTGTGTGTGTGTGTGTGTGCTTGTTTTATTTGTTCCCTCCTCCTTGCTCTTCCGTTGCTGTAATTTTTGCAGTTAGAAGACCCATTTCCCCGCCTCTGCTGCGCATGCCGCACACGCACACACACACACATATATATACAAGCAGCCCATCAACCTTCCCTTCCCACCCACCATGCCTTTTTTACGTGGGCTTTTTCCGTTTGCTTTTTGCTTTTGTAATTTTGGAAATGCGCTTTGCTTCGATTTGTTTTGCTCTCTCCACCATGTTGTTTACCGTTATGTTTTCATCATTCCGAAATTACAGAAACCTGCCCACCCACCCACTCTCTCTCTCTCTCTCTCTCTCTCTCACCGCATGTCAATGGGGTCATGGGAGCCACGCGTGGGTTTTTCTGTGCGCCACAATGTTCCGTGACATGTCCTGTCCGGTCCCTGATTTAATCACAACGCATTCAATTTCATTTGCAACGCCTCGCCAACGCTTCCTATTAATTTGGTGCTAATTAATTTTGGACAGCGGCAGGCGGCACACGGCACCAGCTGTGGGTCTGATTACGTCAGGATGGATGGGATGGATGGATGATGGGTCTAGTTCCAGTTCCAGTCTCATCTATTCTATCTATTTTTGGCCATTAATCCTTTGCCATGATGGCAAACGGCCTTGCCACCCACTCAAGGACTCGTTTATTTATAATCCCCTGCACCACGTTGCGGAGCCTGTGATTCGGGGGACGTGGTCGGTCGGGTCGGGTCGGATCGGCTCGGTCTTCATTCATTATTCAGTTTTCGTACGAGTTCCCCACGTGCCGCATGCCCGTTCCCGAGTATGCCACATATGCGTGAATTTATAAATAGTTTTTTTTTGCCATCAACTTTGGTTCTGTTTATGTGGGGCGGGGGAGGTTGGGGTTTTTGTTTTGTTTGTTTGTTTGTTCATTTATTGATTTATTCATAATCTCCTTTCACCTTTTATTTTTAGCCGCTTTTTGTTGTTGCTAATTTAACCAAATTGAAAACCAAAAACCAAAACCAAAACCAAATCTAACTCATTAGCGCGAGGTAAGCCTCCACCAAACTGGAGCCCAAACATTGGGTCCCTGCCCCCCGCCTCAAACGAACCACCCACTAATGCCCCGCCATATTTGCAGGCCACAAAGGAGGAGCAGCCCCTGGCCATACACTATTTGGCCAGCTTTCATGAGATCTGCATTGTGACCGCCCTGCTGCCCCTGGTGACACTCTTCACGTGCTTTGTGACCGCCTACGTCTACCAGTACGACGATGTACACGAGACACATTGCCGCGTGAGTGTTCGGCTAGCACCGCACCGAAAGAAAGCTAACCTCTGCGCCCTTTTGCGTCCGCTTTATAGGTCTACAATATAATACCCTCGATAAGTGCAATTACGGGCGTCAGTCCGCAGCGCTACTTCTGGCGTTTTAGCATTGCGCTTCACATCGGACCACGCATACCCATTGCCTTTGTCTACAAGAACTACTATCGGTCGCAGCTGAAGCGGATCAGCCCAGAGCTGGTGCCACAGGCCAGCTGGCTGATCAGCCTGATTCTAGTGCTGAATTGCATTGAGATAGCCTCCCTGGGCGGCGTCACATATATATCAAATCGGGAGAACTATCGTAAGTTAATGGCTAAGAGCACAAACATAATTATTAGCTAATTTTGGATTCTCCTGTATTGCCTTGCAGCCGTGCACGAGAGAATCTTCATCACGTTCATGATCTGTTCGCTGTGCTATATGCTGGCCACCATCAAGCTGAATGGCTTGCTGCATGCTGGCCAGTCGCTGAATGTTCAACAGCAGCAGTCCATCAAGTGGAAGAAGTTCTTCTTTGTGGCCTCCATACTGAGCACCATCGGTCTGTTGATCTTCTTTGCCAAACATCGCTTCTACTGTCACGATTTGGGTGAGTTGGGTGGACACGCCCTGGGGTACGCTTTCGATCTTTGACTAATTTGCGGCTCTCTCTGTCTCTCTCTCTCTCTCTCTCTTTAACCCCATGCAGCCTTCAGCTGGTTCGCATTCTTCGAGTACTTGATTGCCATTGCCAATATGCTGTATCACTTTACCATCATCTGGGACTTTCCATCGCAGTATATGGTGATTGTGCAGGGGCCGCTGGAGAATATATCGCAGTACTTGAGCAGCAGGCCGAAAATTGACTAGACCTGGGATCTGTGTTACGCTCCATTCGTTCGTTTGAATTGCTCGTGTTTTCCTCCTCTAGTGTATAGTGTCTGGGGTGTAATTCCCATACGAAACGTACAATTATTGATCTTCTTCAACTTTAAACCTAAGCGCTTCCATTGCAAACAACCAAAACATTCTATTTTTCTCTCAATTTTCTCTCTCTCTCTCTCTCTCTCGACACAATTCAAAATAGAAAACAAAAAAACAAAAAGCGGAAAGCGGAAAGGAAAATGTGTTTAAGCAAATAACAAAAAAAAAAACGAACGCAAAAATGTTGCAATAGTTCCACAAACATTACAATATATATATTATATATCGTACGGGCATAATGTCCTTTGTACACATTCGAATTACGATTAAGTGAATTAAGTAATGTAAGGTTTAAGTGCACTCAACCAACAAAAGGAAAAACCCATAGGAGTAGCTCGCAAAAAGAAGAGAAGAGATTAAAGTAGCAGCAGCAGAGGCCGCTTTCAAGCAGATCTCATGTCAATTCCAAAAATTCAAGTATTCAGGAGTTTATTACATTGTAGCACTTAGACGTACATATCGTGTATACAGAACAGGAGCAAGGAAACATCATCAGCCATAAATTGGTGGGGGGAGGTGGGGGAAATAGCAACGTTTGGTGGGCGCCCTTTTGGGCGGCCCTATCCCTGTGAACCCCTGAACAGAATTCAGACAATAGACAGGCAACGAACCACAAATCACATGGGGTGGGGGGGGTGGGGGTGGGAAATTCTACACACAGACCGGACCCTCTGATTGACGATGGATAAACAAATCTAGCAATTAAACAGCAATTCGACTTAGCCAATGAACGGAGGGGAAATTTGTATTTGGCTGGTTCATAGCTACAAAAAATTGTATACCAAATCAAAGAGCCTCTCGTACACACATACATTTACTCTAGGAATATTTGGGAGGAACCGTGCCGAGCCCACTGTATTCGTTTGTATTTACATATATAATTTTTGTTGTTCTGTTTTCTTAATGCAAATGTAACACACAAATTGAATCTTGTACCATACACAACCAGTGAAGTAAACAGCAGCTGAAGCAGTCGTCAAGCAAACACTTTTACTCCATAAGCGAAATAATATTATATTATTAATAATTATGCCAATTATGCGATTGTATTTGTGAGAGAGATATACAGCGTATATATATACCTACTCCCCTCCCACCCCCCACCCCCCCCACACTGTTTGAATTTAAATACTTTGAAAGCAAACCAAAAATGTAGCTAAACCAATGGAAACAATTGTTAATTCTCACACGCAACAAATGGAATGATATACATATATATACATATATGGTACCTATATATGTACTCAATGGAGGAATTATATGCATATATATATATTTATAGAATATATATATGTTAGGCAATAGTTGAGCTATATATATTGAATTGAATTACCCCAATTGTTGATGCGTTACATTCTATTCCATAAGTTCTAAAGCTCCCTGCTCCCTACTCCCTACTCCCTTGTTTTATGTAACTCTGTGCCCCCTCCTACGCCGTTGCAAAACACTTCTAATTATGTGCCTCACTTTCGCTTTATAAACCATATACATGCCATATATAATGGTATTGTATATATAATGCAATGTACCGCCTCTCTCACCGGCTATTTTCGATTGATTTTACATACATACATACATATACATACGAGTATGTACATATGGCGAATACCTTCTTAAACGAATGGATGGGATGATCACTTTTTAAAATGCAACCTTTTTACCTTTGCATACATTTTTAGGCGACACAAATTAAGCGAATTATTAAGAAAGCAAAATAACAACAACAAAAGAAACCAAACAAATAACAAACAAAAAAAATAAATTAACTATGGACATATGTAACTTTGTAGCTTCCTAATTTGAATAAAGTTTAATACCACATACAACATTTACTCTATCGTCTGAACATCATTTTGTGAAAACATTTCACTGGCAATTAAAGTTGCTTAAATATTCGAATAATCCAATGATGCGAAAATTAATATAAATATTGGCTTGGGCTGGGGGAAAACCAAAGTGCTTAGCTGCATCAAAAGCCTACAGCATACAGGTTACAGCATACAGCTATAAAAGGATTCCATATATGATCTAAGTTACAATAATAATATTGCTAAAATAAGCTATTCAAATTCAGAGCAAAAAACGACGTTGCTCTCAACATTCAACGCTGGATGCCGCTCAATGCCCAGTCCTTTGCTTCCACAACAAATAAATTTACTTTTAGGCACTTAGTTTTCATTTGGAAGCACTTAAGAGATTTGTTTTTTAATCATGTAATTTGTAAATTATTTACATTTTTGTTTCTTCTCGTAGCGCGTTTAAACATAATTTTGTTTGTGTGTGTGAGGTGGAGAGGAGGGGAGGGAAGCTATCATTTAATAGTTGTACATGCTCCTCCTGCTGCCCCATCCATTATTGTGTGTGGGTGGGGTATACATACATGCATGCAAAGCTCTCAGGAAATACGTTCTTAGTGTGCGCGTATATCTAAGCGGTCTATATACATATCTGGGATATGTACAACTATTATCTATGATCTTCCCATCCCTGTTGTGTGTGTGGGTGTGCTGCGGGGCGGCGGCTACGGGTAGTGGGGTCGAGTGTTTAGCATGAGGCTTACAATTAGAGTTCAGTACGAGACTATAAGCTACGGCCGATGTATGGTATGGTATGGTATGGTATGGTATATATAGTAATGCATGTTTATGTGTTTGTGTGCACCTATCTTTAGGTGTGCTTGTGTGTGTGTGTGTGTGTGCGTGTGTGTGTCCTTAAATCTATTTGATTTCTTATTATTTCCGCTCTCGCTGCTCTTCCGCTGCTGTTGTCTAGTCCGGCAAATCAATGCTTACGAATGGCACCACCGGCTTCAGTATATCATTTTTGGCCCCCTTCTTGCTCTTCTTGTCGTGCCGACTGAACTCGTGCAGCTGCTCGCTGGCCGCCGCCGTGCTGGTGGACGAGGATGCATCCAATGGCACAGACTGCCCGCCATTGCTATGCGTGTCGGCATGGTAGCTGATGTTGCCGTACTCCTGAAGGAACGGCATGGCCGAGAGCAGGAACTGGCTAAAGGATTTGCGTATGCCGAACCACCACATGTTGCCGCCCTTGGCGGTGAAGCTGAGGATGATCAGGGCCAGAATTGAGACGAGCAGCGGCGAGAACACCACAATATAGGGGAACTTTAGCTCCCCATCCAGCTTGTCGCATATGACCACCTGGCGGGGGGGGGGCAAATCAAGGCCTTAGCTTCAATGTTTTGCTGGGCACAAACTTGCCTTGTGACTCACCTGAAAGCAGAGCAGGGGCAGCACCGTGCATATGTTGCCCACAGCCGCATTGAGGGCCGCCTTCTTTTGCTGCAATGAGACCTCCGGGGTGCGCATCATAATGCCACAGAATATGATGTTGTATAGCACACTGACCAGGCTCAGGCAGATCACAATCCACATAGGCACAAACACCACATCCCAGTTCCAGTAGACAAACCGATCCAGCTTCAGCGGCAGCGAGACAAACTGCAGCGCATTGACGGCCAAAAAGAGCTCCAGCTCGAAGGAGCGATCATGCTTGACGGCCCAGACGCAGGCACCCACACTGACCACCGAGCCGAAGATCAGCGGTATGAACACAAGCACCCAAAGGTGGCGATCCGAGGTCAGTTTGTCGCACGCCAGCAGCTCGAACATCAGCAGTATGAGGTGCAGGGCCAGGGAGATGAGCATCGCCTTGAACTGCGTATAGGCATCGCCCTCGAGGCGGTAGTGGGGATAGCGGCACCACACAATCGCACCAACAATGGCGCCCAGTATGGCTGTGCACTTCCATATCCACAGGGGCGTGAAGATGGCCCAATAAGGCCAATCTGTTGGAAGAGAGCAGAATGAGCACAGGGCACTGGGAATGTGAGGGTGGGGGGGAGCATTTCTCTCACCAATGTAGTCATCCAGACGCAAGGCATAAAGTGTCACAAAGGTAAAAAGGCTGCAGTGAACAATGAATTTGCTGCAAGAAGCCACAGGGATAAGTCGTTAGGATATGATTAATGCTCAGCTCAGGGGATCGATCTGATGTGCGGTACGTACCAGGGATTGAAGTCGCGAAAGAGCGATTCCAGATTCATCTTGGAGCGGGGCTATGTGGCCATGAGAGCTGCTTGCAGTGGGATCGCGCTGTTGCTCGACACTAGTTGCACATTGCCGTGTGTCCCTCCGTCTCGTCGCGATGCCGAACGATACGCGATGCCAGCCTTTGCCTTGGTCTTTGTTGTTGCCTCTTGCCTCTTGCTCTTGCGGTACGGTACTCACTGCTGCGCACAGACGCTGGCACGCGCACACACACACACAAGCGCTGCAATGGGGGGCACAAAGATTTCGATGCCAGGTGCTGCTCTACTTGCTTCTGTTGATGTTCTCTGCTATCCCGTCTTGCCTTTTCTTTTGTTATTTACACACGCCTGGCCTGGTTATCGTATAGTGCAGTGACACCGATATCGATAGGTCTTTGTCGATAACTTGTGTGTCAGCCCTGGCAGTGCTGACAATTATTTCTCAGCGGCTAATTTTTCTGTGGTTATAAAATGGCTTAAAATTGAAAACACACACATTCTGCTGCCCTCCCATACATTAATTGATTTCACCCAAATTGAATTACTCCATCAAAAATGTCCAAAAAGCATTTAAGTGAAGAAATCTCAGATTTTTCTTAAGTTTAGCTTTTTCCTGCCACATTTGTACTGCCAAGTTAGCCAACACTGTCAGCATGACAGCCGACGGGGAGCAGAAAGTGGAGGATGTGTTTACCATCCAGGAGTCGGATTGCTGTGGCAATGGCTGCACCAACTGCATTCTGGACAACAAGCCCAGGCCCAGCCAGCGCGCCCTGCTGACCGGCAAGCGGAACATTATCCTCAATTACACCAAATTCCGGCTGTTGCAGCGGGACAACCACACGGGTGACAACCAAGTGCTCTTCCTGCACTTTGGCCATGTCGCTGAGAGCGACGCAGAGGATGACAGTGTGCTGGACATTCCCCCGGGACACCATATAATGCTGCGTATTGGCTCCCTGCTGCGTCCGTATTCCCCCTACTGGACGGACTTTGCCAGCAAAGAGTTCAAAATACTTGTGAAGCTGCAGTCCGATGGTCCCATGTCGCAGCACCTGGCTGACGTGCGGGCCAACGACAGGCTGGAGTTTCGCGGACCCATTGGCAATTATCGGCACGATCCAGCCGTGACCAAGTGCATTTATATTGTTGCCCAGGGCGTGGCCATTGCCCCAACGCTGCCACTGGTGGGGCAAGTGCTGGAGAATGAGGATGACATGAGTCGCGTTTGGCATTTGGTGTGCGCCCCCGATCTGCAGCATGTCTACTTTCGGGATCAGCTGCTGGAGTTTGCCAAATACTGGAACTATCGCAGCTGCCTGTACGTGCCCCACCAGCAATGTGGCTCTGCTGCCTGCCTGGAGGCCGGACACTGCCGGCAGGAGTGCGCCGAGCTGCGCAGCAGCCTCCGCTACAAGGAGAGGGTGCGCCTGCACCGACTGGATGCCAATGAGCTGGAGCAGCATGCCAATCCCGCCATCCCGGGACTGCGTGTCCTAATCATAGCCGGCGATTCAGGCTTTCAGCGGGCCATGGGCGAAGCGGCAGCCAAAGCCCTTGCCGTGGCACAGGAGAATGTTTATTTGTTGTAAAGACCAAGATTAAGGATTAAGGATTACGAAATGCATGTTGTGACAGGATTATACAGATTTACAATTGGGTCTTTGGCCAGGCGGCCAGCGCTTCAATCAGCGTGCCATCAGCGATCTTCTCCTTCAACTGCTGTGCCAGCTGTGGCGGCGCCTGTGGCGCCTGTGGCACCTGTGGCACCTGCGGCATCATATGGGCATACTTGGCCAGATATGGCGTCAGCAGCTCCATGGGCAAGGGGAACACAATCGTCGAGTTCTTCTCGGCGGAGATGCTGCTCAAAGTTTGCAGATAGCGCAGCTGCAGAAGGAGGAGCATAAGATTAGAAAATATTCAATCAGGCGGAGTAGCAGGCGGAGGACTCACCTGTAGGGCTGAGGGACTGGAGGAGATGACATCGGAGGCCTCCTTGAGGGCCTGAGCCGACTTCTTCTCACCCTCGGCGGCAATCACCTTGGCGCGGGCATCACGAGCCGCCTCCGCCTCGGCGGCCATGGCACGCTGCATGGACACAGGCAGAGAGACGTCCTTGCTGCGAGAGACGACAGGATGAGGAATGAAAAGGAGTACCTATTGCACAGCACTTACATCTCCACACGCTCCACCATAACGCCCCAGGGCTCGGTGGCCTCGTCCAGCGTGGACTGCATGGTGTGGGCAAGAATCTCGCGCTCGGTGAGCAGCTCGGAGAGATTTCGGGTGCCCACGATGTTGCGCAGCGTGGTGGCGGCCAGCAGGCGCGTGGAGGTGCTATAATCCTCCACCTGGATGACCGCATACAGGGGATCACTGATGCGATAGTAGACGACGGCATCGACGGTGACCGTCACCGAATCCTTTGTCAGCATCTCCTGCTGGGGCACATTGAAGGTGACGGTGCGCAGATCCACCCTGCGGTACTCGTCGATGCAGGGCAGAATGAAGAACATGCCCGGCCCGCGGGCACCGCCACTGAGGCGACCCAGACGGAAGATAATGGCACGCTGGTACTCCGCCACAACCTTGAAGCAGATGAATATCGATATGGGCGATGTGAGAATGAAGACAATCACCGACAGAATCGTCACTATCCATTCCATGCAGCCCCTCGGCTCGTTCTCAGCTGCCAATGGGAACAGAATAGAACAGAACAGAACAGAATGAGAGATTAATCCAGCAGCCACAGCCAAAATGGAAGCCAGTAGCCGATGATGACTAATCACTGATGGATGTGAATGTGTTTGGCCAGAGATAAGGCACGCGCCCCATCACGTACTTCCCTTTGCACTTCAGAGTCTACGCAATCAATTCTCTACACTCGAAACAAACAACAGAATTCGTAGCTCCGCCACCAGCAACTGCAGCCGCAGGAAAGTAGGCTCCAAGGCTTTGATCTTAAGTGCATCCGGAAATGGCACTTGACAGTGGGAATCGGAAACCCTGGATGGGCACGGGAACTGTGGAATCTGTTGTACAGATGGGCTAAGAAGTTCCATTCTTATAGCTACAAAAATCCACACTGAAATTGTGGCTACAACTTCTACGGCTGCAAAGGTTCCGCCTCCATTATTTCAATCTGATTTAACCATTGCAATTTTTGCAGTCTCGTAGAGTCTCGTAGTCCTGCTGGCCCTCATATTTGTCAGTTCTCTGCTTCAGCCTCCTCATGCCTCATGCACAGCGGAGAGCTCTTCTCTTGCATTTGACGATCTTCTGCTACTTATCAGCTTAAAGCTCAGATCTTTAGCGTAACCGGTAAGCGCACTTTCTAGGGGATTTGCGGCCATTAATGTGAAGATCTTGGTGGCATTTATGGGCTAACATTTTGTATTGCTTTGCATTGTCTGGCACTGGCACTTTTCCTGCAGTCAATTCGGACTTCTAATCTGCACAAGGAATTTCTCAATAAAAGAAGGGAAATAAGCGAAATATTGCGAAACCAAAAACAGAAATGATCTCAGCCCCAGCGCAGCTAAAAGGAAGTGGGGAGCCAAAGTCCCCTTCGAATATGATGTATTGATAAGATATACATATGTATAAGCCATTATGGCCAGTAGTACATATGTACTGCCAAAAGTCGCTATCTGCATATCTGTTTACATATTTATCCCATGCAAGTAGTGGGGCACATGGCACATGGCACCTAAAATGTCTGATTGATAAACACACTTTCACGACTGTTTGTCTGTTGATTAGCCAATGATTAAATGCCAATTTCCTTATCCTGCAGATCGACTGCAATCGTCAGCGACCCCCACTCTCCCCCCCTATCACACTCACACCCCTTTATAAGTATTTTTGAGCGCAATCTAATCTAAATTTCGTTTCCAATGAATTTCGGCTGAATTGGACTGGATTGGATGCATGTGATGTGATGTATCGATCCGTGGATCGCGCTTGTTTTCTTACATGTTTTGAATCCCCGATACTGTTGCGTGACGTGGGAACGCTTGCGCGGTGGCGAATGATCGGAGATTACTGCACCCTGCGGCGGTGCGCCAGGACCCATGTTGATCATGTAGGCGGTGGAGCTGCTCGGTCCCGAGCTGCGCATATCCTCGTAGTTGGCATACACGGGTGAGTCCGCATCCTTATGTTGCTGCTGCTGCTGGTGCTGTTGCTCCATGGCTCTTGTTCTGTGTGTGATCGATCTGTGATCCACTCCGTTCAGCGAGCCATTCAAAACTGTCGTCGTTCAACAAAAAAATTAAAAATCAAACAACAAATTGCCACCCGTTCGGGGCATTCCATTGATAAGGGCAAGAGTCGGGAACGGTTAATCACGAACCGGGTGACGGCAGCGGCAGCGGCAGCGTCGCCCTGGCCAGTGCCCACGCCACCAGATACGAGCATTCATTCGTATCTCTTGCTGGGCCCCCCCCCCAGCTATCGCGCTCCACTCTGCGTTGAGTGGCGTGCCGTGCCCCAAAGCCCAAGCTCTCTGTGGGGCAGCGCAGCGCAGCGCCCAGGGGAACACCAGAACACCACACACCGAACATCTAACCGGCTCTGTATGTAAATCGCTTGCAATTCGCGGCTGAATCATCGTTGCATAAAAACCCAGCTGTTGCAGCAGCAGCAGCAGCAGCAGCAGCAACAGCCCGGAAATGTATGGCGAGCATTGCTTTAAAAAATGAATGCGCAGAATTAAATTACAGACGGGAAATATATTTAAATGATCTGCTCCGCGTGGTGTGCCGTGCCGTGCCGTGCCTCTTGCCTGCGTGGCTTTTCCTTTCATCCAGCAAATGTTTCCTTTCGATGTCCTTGAATTCAGCTGAGGCATCACAAGGGGTGTCAGGCAGACGCACAAGCGAAAAGTGCAAAAGAGAATGCCGGAGAATGTAAAAAAAAAATCAACAAAAATTCTTTCCGTGCGTGGACGCTGCTGTGTGATCGCTGTGCGACCGGTTCGGTACGGTACCGAGAATGCAAACAACAAAATACACAAACTAAAAAGATATCGTGCTATAAGGGAGCGAAGATCGGTTTGGTCCCACCCTCAGTGAAAGGAAGCGCCCAAAGAGGAGAAAAAGATCATACTCGTAGAAGAACTCTCTCTGGCAACGAGGATCCTTCAAACCTACGAAAATATCGTGCATTATCCATCAGAAGAGGACTTATATAATTCGAATCAGTATTCATATTTGGATTCCCCCTTAGATTGATATTTGTTTCGCGCCTTATTCTACACACACTGAAAAGTGTTTGCTTATTTTATGCAAAAAGCGCCATGGCCTGTATCTAATATTATTTATATTTCATACAAAAAAAAAAAAGAGAAAAAAAACAACAACAACAACAACAGATGGACTAAGAACACATTGATGAACAATAAATATAATCCCCTTCTGGGGATCACCTGCCCAGCATATTAAACTGCTCCCATGGTGCTCCTGCCTTGATCGAATGCTACAGCAAATAGCCAACGATGTCCTCGTCATCGTCATCGTCGTGCTCTGTGGGCGGCTGTCGCTGGCGCTGCTGCCTCTTGAGCTCGCAGCGATGCAGTGCCTCCAGATAGGGCTGCAGCACCGACATTGAGCGTCACTGATGATGCTGATGCTGGTGGCGATGCAGCGGCGTGGATGGTGCCGGCGGATGGGAGTGCTGCATATTCTGCTGCTGCTGCTGCTGCTGCTGCTGCTGCTGCTGCTGCTTTTGCTGGTGCTGATTTTGGGAGTTGAGGAATGGCGTGAGCAGCTCCATGGGCAGCGGGAAGATAATGGTCGAGTTCTTCTCCGTGGAGATGCTGCTGAGGGTCTGCAGGTAGCGCAGCTGCGGAAGAACAAGAAGGCACTCAGCACTCACTCACAGCGCTGGGAGATGCTCAAACTGCTTGGGAGACTCACCTGCAGGGCCGACGGACTGGCCGAAATGATCTCGGAGGCCTCGCGAAGGGCACGCGACGACTTCATTTCGCCCTCGGCGGCAATAACCTTGGCGCGCGCCTCCCTGGCCGCCTCCGCCTCAGCGGCCATGGCACGCTGCAAGGCCGTGGGCAGGGAGACGTCCTTGCTGGAGAGAGAGAGAGAGGAAAAAGAATTGAGGCTATAGCTTGGGCTCAAAGTGCTCCAACCCTTACTTACATTTCCACACGCTCCACCTTCACGCCCCAGGGATCGGTGGCCTCGTCCAGGGACATCTGCATCGTGTCCGAGATGGTCTTGCGCTCGGTGAGCAGCTCGGAGAGATTGCGTGTGCCCAGGACATTGCGCAATGTGGTGGCTGCCAGCAGGCTGGTCGAGTGGCTGTAGTTGTACACCTGAATGACGGCCTTGAGGGGATCACTGATGCGATAGTAGACCACGGCATCCACTGTGACCGTCACCGAGTCCTTGGAGAGCACCTCCTGCGGTGGCACATCGAACGAGACGGTGCGCAAGTCCACCGGATAGTAATCATCGACGCAGGGCAGCACAAAGAAGACGCCCGGTCCACGGGCACCGCCGCTGCGCAGGCGACCCATGCGGAAGATCACAGCCCGCTCGTACTCGGAGACCACCTTGAAGCAGATGAACACGGAGATGGGAAAGGTGAGGATCATGATCAGCACCGAGATGGCCGTTGCCAGTATCTCCACGCAGCCCATGTCATCGTTTTCCGCTGCAAGAAAACACAGAGAGAGAGAGAGAGAGAGATCAATGGATGGGTTCCCTGGCGATTTGTAGCTGGAATGCTCCTCCTATTTGCAGTTTTTACTGTGGTAAATTTACTTAAGGAAAGAAACTTCTGTGATCTAAGATCTGACAAATGGCTCTGACGATTGGGGGCTATTCATCGGCTGTCGGGGGAAGAACTTCTCCTTAACAAAATTTTACAACTTTCAGGGTACCCAGAAACAGACTGCAGAACAAATTCTAGAAGAAGGGAGACGGCAACGATGGTATTCCAAAGAAGATAATGAGAGCTTAAGCTGTTTGTCATTGCCATTGGAATATTCTGGCTTAGAGCTAATATTTTTCAGTCTCTCAAGACTCTTGCTAACCAGAGTAAAGCAATGGAATAGAGCGTGCCAGCAAGAATAACGGACAAGCAGGTAGCAGCACCCAGCAGAGAATCAAACACTGTTAACCATCTGTTAGTTCGGTTAATGCACAGCAAAAAACAAATCAAAATATCCTGAGAATAAACATACAATCCTATGTACTCGTTGGTACGGGTATACACACATAAATTGATCTGTGGCAAGGGCTTCCCTCCCTTCTTTCTTCGTTTGCAATTGAATTTCTTGTGGATTTTTGTGGATATTCGCACCCATTATGATGTTTCAATTACCCCCACACCCGTACATATTCCAGGGCCTGGGCTCTGCTCTGGTGTGTGTTTTTTTTGGAAGGCAATTAATTTGTTCAAATTGCTTTTGATCTAGTAAAAATGCCATAATTTCCATAAATATCCAGAGAACGAGCCGGTAGCTGCGAGCATTTCTTATGCTCGACTAACTACATAAGTAGAACATTTTGCTTAATGGCCAAATACGAATGCGAGTACGAGTATATATGTACAGGCGAGGGCGAGTGTATTCTCGAGTACACAAACACACAAAACAACACAACACGTTCATGAATATGATCTCCAAAATGGTTTTAGTTTTGGTTTGTATTTTTCCTTTTCCTTTTTTGTTTTGTTTTGTTTTATTTTTTTTTTTCTGTTTCTTCACCGAACGAATCGAACCGAGTAATACTCGTACTCGAGTGAACTATTTATGCCCATTGGGCAAGGCAGGGAATAATGTTTACGCCCCAAAAGGCCCGACCCCAGCCCGATCCCGGCCCGGTCACGCCGCGGCGGGGGTGTTGAGTATTTCTTTTCTTTTGTTTAGATTATATGTTTCGACAGTACGATTTATATCACACGGATACCCGGCTGCACGGCTACACGGATCGGTGTTTTTGGTGTTCGGTGTTCGGTGTTCATATGCCTCAATCCGAGGCCCTGGTGTGTGGGTGTGGGTGTAATTTCTATTTATTTGCATATGTCGGCGCAGAGTTTATATTGCATACTTCATTGGTGGTCCGTCCGATCGATACAATTCAATGCCCCCAGATACAGATACAAATATGTATTCTGGTGCTGGTTCTTTCTGATTCATTTAACCGAAAAATCGTCTCACCTCGTGCCTTGATTATGATTTTATTTGATATTTGCATTAATTTCACATTTTCTTGAATTATGGATTATTCACCATGGGTAGCGGGGTAGGGGTAGGGGAAGGGGCAGGGGGGTGTGGCAGAGATCTGTGAGGTCATGTGGGAAAAACTATTTGTATCTGGCAGTCAATGTGCGTATACTTATTTTTATGAGCTAAACAAAAAGCGGCCAGCAGGCAATATCTGTGCCTGGAAATCCGCTCCACAAATCGAAGGGAAACTATGCCGTTAAATATAATTGAACATTTTGCAATTAAAGAGGAATAATACATCGAATTTCTCTTGCAATTTAATGGCAGATCCTTGAGACCGAATTACAATTTGAAGAACAAAATTGGAACTTTTTAATTAAAAAAAAAACAATTTTCTATGAGTAAAACCTTTAGGTTTCCTTGCACTAAATGATCCTAATATTTGTAGAAATTGTCCAACAAATTTCTGTTGCAGAACTACCATGAAAACCTTGCCTCCATCTCCCGCAAAATGTTTATAAAATTTTGAAATTTATTCCTCATTTTTCTTCTTCCATATCTTACACGTTTTGAGTCCCTGATACGGCAGAGAGGCGGCCGGTGGTATGTGCACCGTGTGCTGTGACGACGACAGATGATGCTGCGGCTGTGGTGTCAGCGGAAATGTCTCCGTCGATGAGGAGGCCTGCACTTGGCCCGATCCCGGCGAGCCGACATGCAGACGCGAGCGATGTTGATGCGGCGAGGCAGGATGCATTTTCTGAATAAACGAACGGGCAAAGGAATCAACGAACGAGCGAACGAACGAACGAACGAGCTGGCAAACAGGATGAGCCGATGGATATTTTTAAACGGAAACTGATCGATGAGAACTGCACGCGTCCAGCGCACGTTTTCAAGTGAATGCGGGAGGCGGCACAAAATCCACCAAACAAACAAAACACAAACACACAAAATACAAAAACCTCCCTCCTCCTACAGTAAAAGCTCCAGTGCAGAGACAAATATAACGACTACAAAGATACCCTCGGCTAAGGGATTTACTTAATGGAATTTCTACAACAATTAACCCAGAGAAATAGCCATCTGATGATGGAGCAATATATTTGCTACCCAATTTAAATTCAATAAATTGTTCAGCCTTCAGAGGGTTATCCAATCTTGGGTACTGCAAAGACTCTACTTGGTAATGGGTACCAAAATGGGTGTATGGATCCCAAACAGACATAGAAGCGGCAGTAGCACCGGCCAGCAGGCCCAGCAGGTTGCTCGACTTATTTCACACATTCACATAGTTCGAATAGAGTAGCCGCCGACCGATTCCGCGGCGACTCGATGGTTCGTTCTTTTTGTTTAAACTGTTCGAAACGGGCCACTAGAGATGGAGATAATTTATACAGCACTTCAATCACAGCATTTCACAGCAGCTAAAGCTAAATGCCTTTTTTTTCTGGCCCTGGATATACATAGAATACGTTGGGCATATGTACATATGTGTAGCTAAAGGTAGAGGGAGTTGCTGGTGTTGGTGTTGGTGTTGGCAGACCCTGAGCTATGGCGACGCCTTGTCTTTCACATTTGTCTTCTAAATCATCTCCGGTCAGCCCATGCGGCACAACAAAATACTTTCCGCACACAAAATGCACGAAGCTCGAAACACACAAATCACCCTGGGGATCAGTCTCGGGGAAGCGACTCCCCCTCTCCGGGTACACAAATGAGTTATGGTTACTATGAATGATCGCCGCTGTGCATTTTGCAGCCTATTAAAGCACAGAAACTACTTGTACCGATTAATATGGGCAAGCTAAGACATGTGGTGGTTGTATTTGGTACGGAATGAATGTGCCATTCATTTAATTTTACGACTCTTATGCTGCAAGCTTGCGTAGATCTACTTACTCATCCTGGCACCAAAGTAGAATCATATTTAGTGGGGGAAACTCAAGTGTTCCAAGGGTTTTTTCTATGATTTCTGTAGTCTGCAGGATGTTTCTTTTTATCTAGAATTTATGTTTATTAATTATTATGTTATTATTTGTTATTATTTATTATTATTATTTATTAATTATTATGTTATTATTATGTTATGTTTCTGGACAGGAGCTATGCTAGTGTTTCGATTGGAGCAGGCTCTGTCACCAGCATGCGATCACTGGTATTTCCACTAAAATATATATTAAATATATGTATCGTTATATCCATGAATTGAATTGAACACTTTTTGCATACACAAATTAATTGTTCCTGTTTTGTCTGCCATATACGCGTACTTTATTGCAATTGTTACACTGAACAACAATACAAATTGTACATTATTATTGTATACTATAAATATGCAAAAGATTTACTTCTTTGAGGCTACAAATTGCATCCAGGGAGTATGCATTTTCGGGCTGCAATGGGTGGCGTAAAGTAAATGCAACCCCCCCCCCCCGATATACCTGCTATATATGTATATTCTGTTGGGGTGTGTTTGAGGGGGTTATATCAGTGTGTGTATAGTATGGGTATTGTATACGATATATATATGTGTGTTTGTATGTATATATAGCTGATTCGTAAGGCACATTACGGTCTATATAGATCTACAAATGAGTGATTGCTAATTGCGCTTGATGATGCTTGAATGGTTGGTTGATGGGGGGAGGGGGTTCAGGGAGACTGATACAATTTGGTCGCAGCTATATGCTATACATGGATTGAGTTGATTGCTGTATACAAGTGGCTATATAAAGGTATATAATATATAGTATATGTATATATATATATGTATATAATAGGTATATATGTGTGTGTTGGTTATCATATGCTGATTTGTAACAAATGCTTCTTGCTGCACATACAAAATCCCAAATGCTTCTTACAGTTTATAATGCTTATAAAATAATGCAAATTTCCGATTTTGCATTCAAAAATCATTTTAGCTTACAAACATTCCAATTTTGGCCACTACGAAATTTTAGACACTCTTAGCAACAATTTATGAACTACAAAAGTTTCGTTTCTACCTTTTTACCGTTTTTTCCCGATTTTTAATTGACTGAGCAATATCCTAGTTATCCTCTTGTGTGTGTGTGTATGTGCATCTCACTCTCTGGCGAAGATCGATTCTCTCTCTCTCTCTCTATCTCTCTCTCTTGCATTGCATGCAAAAATCCGAAACAATTTTGGGCAACTTAAACAACTAATAATCATCGCATGGCATCGCTTCGTAGCGCTTCACTTCGCTTTGCAGCCCATCGCTTGATTGGTTAACAAATTCTTTGCTGTATGGAGGAGGAGTATGTGGTGGTGGTGGCCGAGTACGTGGAGCACGCTGACCACTGGCCACTCTTGCCACCCGTTGGCGCCTGGCGCCTTCGTCAGTCATTGTACATGCCATCGACCAGGAAATCCATGCGCCTGTAGTGACGTGTGCTCCACAGCTCGCGAAAGCGTCGATACATAATGGTGACCACGCCAATGACCAGCGGCACCGTCAGCAGCACCGTCACAATGGGCACGATGTAGTCGTTGCCCCCACGATCAGCCAGATTTCCAGTTAGCTCCTGCACCATTGGTGCCGCCGGTTCGGACAGCGTGGATGCCGGCATCGGCAGCGGTTCCGAAGAGGCAGCCAATGAAGGAGCCGCCGGCGACTTTATCTTATCCTCCTTTTCCTTCTCCCATTCGCTATGTGTGTCCATGCTGTAGACAACGAGTGGCTTTGTGGGACGCGGCGTCGTTGTGGTGGTCGTCGTCGTCGTCGTGGTTGTTGTTGTTGTTGTGGTGCTGCTTGTTGTTGTGGTCGATGGAGTAGTGGCGGTGCTGCTGCTGCTGCTGCTGTTGCCGCTGCTAGTTGTGCTGGTCGTGGAGTTGTTGGCCTTTTTCACATCATTTATGGAGATGCCTTCAGCCACAATGGTGCCAGTGGGTGGCTGTGCTGCTGCTGGCTTTGCTGTTGCTGGCTTGGCTGTTGCTGTCGCTGCTGCCTTTGTGACCGTTCCATTGGTGGCTGCCGGAGCTGCGCTTGTAGGTGTCGCCGTTGCAGTGGTGGGCTTCAGGTGTACCGGGTCCGTCCGCTTCCTGGTCTTGGCCGTGTTGTCCGGCGGAATGGTGCTCGTCTTGTTCATGTCCTTTTCATGCTCCTTGGCCAGTTCCGTGGAGTTGGTCAGCTTAACCTGCGTCTTCTCAATGATGTGCACTTGACCGGGCACCGCAGCCTGAGCTGTGACAGTCGTATTCATCGCATTCACAACCAGCGGCGCTGCCGTCGAACTGTTTCTCTGGGATGGCTGGGGATTGGCCACAGGGGCATTCTGCTCGCCAGCAGCAACCAGCACTAGGCTTGTGCCGCACAGCAGCCAAAGTAGCGGAAGCACGTTCATTCTCTGGCCGTGGCCCTTGTGCAATTTAGTCCAAAACGTTGCTAAAATTTGGCAGCCAAAATTAATATTTTACTCCTCCTGACCCACAGAAATATACCAAAATATACCTTTACTCTTTCAAAATATCCCAAAAAGTATATAATATAACGTAAACGGTCACGTCACCCTTTATCGAATATCATCCCTGATATACCATAAATATATCCATAATTTAGCTGGCAGCGCTGGCACTGCTGACGTTGCCACTTTCGTGCGTGTCACAGCTGTGTGTGTGTACGGTGTGGGCGTGTGTGTGTGTGCGTGTGCGTGCGTGGGGTCTGCCGCATTAATTTTTTGATTTCGATTTGGACTCCAATTGCAGCGTCCGTCAGTCCCCCAAAACGTACAAAATGAAACTGCCAAGCGACACACTGCTTCTGCTGCTGGGCAGCCTGCTGCTGATGTGCGGCACGGCCCAGGCCTGGCACTCGGAGGAGCTGGAGATCTTCGATTTGGTGGAGGAGATCAACAAGAATTTCTACGAGTTTATGGGCATCAACCAGACGGCCACCAACAACGAGATCAAGCGCGCCTTTCGCACCCTCTCGATTGTCCTGCATCCGGACAAGAATCCGTCCGAGGACGCCAACATCCAATTCCGGAATCTCGTCTCCATCTACGAGGTGCTAAAGGACTCCTCGAAGCGGGAGAAGTACGACAAGGTGCTCAAGGAGGGCATGCCCAACTGGAAGTCGGCGCTCTACTACTACCGCCGCATGCGCAAGATTGGCCTCTACGAGGGCGCCTTCATCCTCTTCCTGATCATCACCGTCGGCCAGTATCTGTTCGCGTGGGCCGCCTATCTGGAGAAGAAGTACACCGCCGAGCAGGTGTTCGGCACCAAGCTGAAGAAGCTCCAGAAGAAAAACAAAAACATCGACATGGACGTGATCCTCAGCGAGATTCCCATGCCATCGTTGCTCAACACGCTGCCCATTCAGATACCGCTGGCCATCTGGAATTTACCCAAGACCATCATGAATGGCTTTAGCAAGGCGAACGAGCTCAAGGAGCTGGCACTGGAGAAGCGTAGACAGTAAGTTGGAAGGCTCCTACCCACTAGGTTTTCGGACTAATTTCCCCATTCTTTCCAGAGAACTCGAGGCCGCTCGCCGGCAAGAGGAGCTGGAGCGTGAGGCCGAGGAGCAGGCCCGCCTGCGCAAGGAGCAAAAGGAGAATCTGCGCAAGCGAAAGCAGAACAGCAAGGCACCCGAGAAGACGGAGGAGGAGCTGCGCGGCTATTCCCGTATCAATGCCCGGGAGCTGAACGAAGAGGATGCCGTGCGTCCCGCTTCGCAGAAGGTGAACTACAAATACCTAGATCCACGTTCGTTTTACTCATCGCCCAAGGGCGCTCCACTCTTGCAGAGCACTGTTAGCGGCGGCTTCTGGACGGACGAGGATCTCACCGAGCTGATACGCCTCGTGAAGAAGTATCCGGGTGGAGCGGGCAGTCGCTGGAACACCATTGCCGAGTCCATGAATCGCACCGTCCAGGAGGTTACCTTCATGGCGGCCAAGATGAAGGAGAATGGCTACCGCATACCCGGCCAAACGGAGAGCGTGGCCGAGACCCTCGTCCAGGAGTCACAGCAGGCGGTGCGCAAGGAGAAGGTAAAGAAGTCAGCAACTGCGACGGCGGCGGCACCAGCCACTGCCAGCAGCGAGAAGAGCATGCTGATACCGGAGACCAACTGGACGCAGGAGCAGCAACGCGCCCTGGAGGCGGCCATCGTGAAGAACAGGAAGACGGCCAGTGGGGATCGCTGGCAAAAGATCGCCAACTGTGTGCCGGAGAAGACCAAGGAGGAGTGCCTGGTGCGGTACAAGTACTTGTGCGAGCTGGTCAAGACCCAGAAAAAGGCCGAGGAGGCGGAGGCCAATGCAGAGCTCGATGAGGAGCTGGCCCCCGAAGAGGAGGAGGCCCCACCAGCGGCAGCGGCAGTCCCAGCCGCAGCGCCAGCGGCGTCCAAGAAGCTCAGCAAACGGGAGCAGCGACGCCGCAAGCAGAATTACTCCAGCAGCGAGGATTCGGATGAGGATGCATATCAGTACGAGATCAGCTAGTCGCCAACAAATCCCCTGGATACCCTACCACATGCCATCCTCCTGCAACTGCAATTCGCGTGGCTCAAACAAACTTAGTTGTAATAATAATACGTCGTTTTTTTTAATATATAATTTGCATTAAAGAAAAAGACTCCTCTGTGGCTACAATGACAGACAGGGCTTCCAGTAGCTAGCCAGGATCACATACATGCATATGTATATCGTATATCCAGGATATCCAATGTCCTCCATTTGAAGCGCTTCTCTCTCTCTTATGTTTTTTTGTACATATATTTTGTAATTTCATTCAAATCAAGAATTCCTTTTGCCAAAAGTAAAACAAAAACAAAAAATGTGGCACATATCACGCGTCTTTTCCATGGGGGCACTCGACAAAAAACGGTACCCTACCCTCCCTCCCCGGCAGATGATTGAATCGATAAGATAACAAAATGAGGCGAGATCTTTTGGACACCCTCGCTACTCCATTGGATGCCTAAACAGCCTTTTCTATAACCGATTTTGTGTATCGGGTATGGTACAAGTAGAGCCGCGGCTCTTGCTGCAGCTCACAAAGATTCCTCACGTTGTGGTTCGTTTTGGGATCAACTTTTAATAAAAAAAAAGAAATTCACGATTATTATTGATACAAGAGACCCAGATGGCAGATCCAGGCACGGATTCAATCCTGCTTATCCGAATCATTGATGGCCAGTATGGACTCTTTGCTAATCTCCAGGAATGAGGCCTGTGACATCTCCGTGTCGTCCTCCTCCTCTTCGATCTCCATCTCGAAAATGGTCATCTTGCGCTTGCGATCCGAGAGCACGGTGGCCACCTTGCGGCTGCCGGAGACGGCCAGCATTTCGCAGACGCCATCCAGACCCTTAAAGGCAGCCGCCTCGGGTATGTCGTGAATGCTATGCGTCACAGTGGCATCCGGCAGATTCATCAGCGTGGCCAGATTATGTTGGGTGCTTTGATTGCGCGCTGCACTGAGGGAGAACTGAATGAAGTAGCTGTGGGGGCGCACGCCGGGCGTGGATGAGGTGCTCTGGGCCAGCATGGAGAGCGAGGACTCGTTGTAGAACTGCAGATCGACGAAGCGCAGATTGTAGTAGTCCTCGTGCAGCTGGGAGGTGAAGGGACCGGGCAGCAGCTGGACGCGAGTGCAACGCAACAGGCAATCCTCGGCCCGACTAAACTCCAGGATCATAGCTTCCTGCCAGCTGATGGTTACAGCCAGCATATCACATCTGCCGGCCTCATGCACATAGTAGCTGCAGGTGACAAAATCCTGCTCCTCCTCGGGCTCCATCGGCGGCAGCTGGCAGCAGACGACGGCCGTGCTGAGCTTGAAGCTGGCGCTAATACTTTCCGTGGGCTTGTGGAAGACTGCATCGATGGCATTGAACATCTTGTCGCGCTGCTGCACCAGCGACAGCTTCTTGTCGTGCGGCACAAACAGCGGACACTGGCCCAGGCACTCGTTCTCGGCCAGCATCTGCTCCCACAGCTCATTGGGATCCACCGGGTAGAGCTGCGTGAGGCAGGCGTTCTCCAGATACTGTCCCACACGCTCCAGATTGAATTTGCTGCGTGTGGGCGCACCACCACTCGGTGGCTCGGCATCCTCATCCTCATCGCTGCCATCGTCCAGATCCGGCTCCATCGCACAGAGCAGATCGGCCAGGGCCACGTTCTCCACCTCGCTGAGTACCATCTCGTCGGGTATCTCCTGGTGCGAGAGCCGCAAAATGGTGAATATCATCCAGGCATGGAAGAGCTTCATGTCGTGCACCAGCGAATCGATGGTGCGCTGCAGTTCGTGCACCTTCAGATAGAAGGCACCGCAGGCCCGCATAGCCTCAACGGCCACCTCTGGGGAGATGAGGGACTGCAGAGAGAGGACAGAGAGGAGACATTAGAATCCTCGTTCGAAGAAGGTGCTCTGTGCTGTGGACAAACCTCAAAGAAGTGCGACATGCGACCAAAGCCTGCGATTGTGTTGAGAAAATAAAACATATTGATGGCCGCTCCATTGAGCTGCTTGAATACCAGCCCCTGCAGATTGTTAAGGCTGAGATCCACCGAATTGGCTATCTTCTTGAAGCCCTTCTCCGAGAGGGTGCTGCTTAAAGGAGTAGCAAATATGAGCACTGGATACTGTCGATGGCAACGCAACTCACTCGAACAGAAATTCCTCCACCTCGAAGGTGGCAAAACCAAAGACATGCAGCTCCAGAAAGTGTGTGGATATCATGCCGTACGCCTGCGAATTGGCATACTTTGTCAGTTTATTGTCCATCTCCAGCTGAACGGTCTCCCAGGCCTCCGTCAGGCATTGCTGTGTGTCATTGATGTAGCTATAGAAACGCGCACAAATATCAGAGAATATTCAGGAAATGCGGACAGAGTCAGGAGCACCTACTTCTTTGTCTCCAGGATGTGGGCACAGTGCGTGGCCAGCTCCAGCATGGGGGCCATGCAATCCTGCAGCACCTGATTGTGAAAGTGCAGCATCTTCAGCTGCTGGCCATCGCGCAGCAGCGCATAGATCGCATTAAAGTCACCGTTCAGCCGCACATCGTACACATCGAACTGCTCCGGATGCAGCACGTGCTGGGTGAGATCGATGCTGCCCGCTTGGAGGGCGCCCAGCAGCAGCAGATGCACTTTGCCGCTGCGCATGATCACCACCAGAAAGCAGGGCGAACCCTTGGGGAAGGACTTCTGGTCCAGCGACTTGAGGCACGGATCAATGTTCGTCAGCGGCTGTAGCTTGGGCAGGAATCGCTTGTGCTTGTCCTTGGCGTTGCAGGTGTAGCTGCCCAGCGTCTCCTGGCAATTGATGGCCTTGCTGAAGTACACCTTCTTGATGTCGTCGTCGTATATCAGCCCAGAGATGATTGTCTCGCTCTCGGCATCCAGCAGAGCCACCTTGCCATTACTGTAGCCCACGGCCAGCAGCGTTTCGTCCATTTGCCAGCTGAGGGACCGCACTCGCACATCTTCGCCAGGCGTGGGGAAGGTGACAATCTTCTGCCAGTTCAGCCGCTGGATGACCACCTCGCCTGCGGGATAGTAATCGTAAAGTATGCTTAAGTCCAAGCGTAGAGCAGCACCAATCTAATCCAATCCCAACTTACCCTTTTCCGTGCCGTAGGCAATAAGATCCATTTTATTGTTCCACTCCATGCGCTCCACAATGCAGGTCATGTTGCGAGCACCGAGCAGCTTCATGGAGCTTGTCTGTGCCATTTTTTCTGCTTTTCAATCCTAAATCCAATCCAAATCCTGTACAAAATTGCATTAGTAGCAATTGTTTGCCATTTATTTATACTTTGTCGGCGTGCCTATCGGTCAAACTTCGCTGGCGCGGTCTATCGAACCGGCACTCGCCAAGGTATATCGAATAAAAGGTACGGTACCTTCTACCGCAGGCCAGGCCAGTCGAGATCAGCATTACAAATCCAATCCAGATCATCTACAAAATTGCTTTAATAGCAATTGGCAAAAAAAAACCATTTTGCTACAATTTATTTATACTTTTCCGGTGTTTCTATTGTACCGTACCTTTCATCGAATATACCTTGCGAATAGGAAGAAAGTGGTGGTGCAACAGAAGGAGGGGAATAAAGTTGTCCTTTATGAGACAGAGAGAGAGAGAGACGGATGAAATGAATTCTTTTGCGAATTGTATTTTTCCGACTACAGAACATTTAATTTGTTTAGGCAATTGTGGGCTGGATGTTGGGTGTCCCAAATAATGAGCGAAGTCAATATTTAATATATTCCGATCGGGAAATATTTTACATATATTTTCCGTTTGTGAGGCTGGTTAAAATATATGTAGTTATGTATTAAAACAAAAAAAATAGTTAAGTCAAACTAAGCGGCCCAATTGGCGCGTATTTGCTTTTAGATCCACATTGTCCTTAATTGGTACACTAATTTCTATGTATGTATATGCTTTGTATACATTTGTAGATTATTTCGAATATGCTTAGTCGTCGGCTTCTCCGATGCCAAGCTGGTTCTCATCGTTATTGGTGCTGGCGGCTGGACTGGCCTCGGCCTCTGCTTCAGCTTCAGCTTCAGGTTCTGGCTCCGGCTCGGCCTCAGCCTCAGCTTCGACCTCTTCGTCCTCCTCCTCGTCTGGTCCGCCAGCAATGCTGCCACTGGGAGTCTCGACGCTGCCGGGGTTAGTGCCAGTTCCAGAGCCGCTGCAGCCCATACCGTCACCACCATCACCGCCGCCACCGGTGCCGTTGCCATTGCCAGTGTGCCAGGTGAGGCGCTCCTCGTAGAACGCAATCACAACCTGTGGGCAGCGTTCGTTGGCAACTTTGGCGGACACCAGATCGGCATGATCGCTGCCCTTCCACTTCATCAGGAACATGAGCTGGCCCAGCGAGTCGGTGGCACCAAGTATCTTTGACGGCACCAAGCCGCGCTCAAAGCCGATCAGCTTACGGGTCTCTTCGGTCTCATCCTCCATGAATGACTTGCGCTTGCTGCGAATGTTTTCTGGTGTGGAGACTGTTGCTACTCGCTTCTTGGGCTCCTTCTTCGTTTTCAGCGACTCTTCGAATGTTGATATTAGGTCGGGGCAATCCAAATTTTCCACAGGCTCCCAAGTGTTTTCACTGCGAGGATAGCCCTTCCACTTTAAATAGTATTCCGTGCGGCCGTTAACCAATCGTTTGTCTTCCACGCGTTCTACGGAAAATTCGGCCATTTGTGTGATACGATATTGCAATTGTTGTAAGTAATTTTAATGTTGCTTTTATATTTTTAATGCGACGCTTGCACTAGTGATGTGAGAGTTAGGGCTACAGAACAATCGATGGCAGTAGCGAAAGCATCGATAGATAGATCGATGCTTTTTTATTTCGAGAAATGCTTGGAATAGCGAAATGACTCGCAGGATACTATCCACATAAATAAAAGGAGCGCAAAAGCATTGAGTATATTAAACGACTGTTTTAAAAAAATATATATTTAAGGATTTCGATGACTATCGATGGTTTTGAAACCCAATTGAGAATATGTTTCAGTAAATTAAAAATCGTGAGCCGGTTTTTTTTGCAGCCCCGCCAACGAATAAATTAACCTAACAGAAAATGTTGCCATTTAATTTTAAATACAATACTGAGCTGATTTATTTATATATATTTGGAAACATTCATCGTTTGCGCAAAGGAAGCGATGATTGCACATGTCGATAGTTTGATTATCGAAAGACGTTGTGTTGCACGTGCGTTCGTTTTTTAAAGAAATAAACAAATTTAAATTATAGTAGTTAATCATAAAAACTAACCGAAAATGGGCGAGTTTATAGCTGAAATGCAGGAGCGCCTGCTGCCGGAGTACGAGCAGATGAAGCACTATAACGTCTTCACGCCAGATCAAGTCAGGTGAGCGGCCAGAAGTCAGCACTGCCCACAGGCCCTTCAAGTAATCCAACTGTTTATTTGCTTCCAGAGACATAGTGAGCCGGCGCGAGCGTCTTTTCCTGAAGATCACCAAAAGCCACCTGGCTGTCGGCGATTATCTAGAGTTCATCGTCTACGAGAAGCAAATGTACAAGACGCTCACGGACAAGGAGAAGATGATGCACATAAAGCTGACCGGCCTGAAGACCTCCATTTCCACACGCATCATGCGCCTGTACAGGGAAGTGCTGGGCAAGTTCACCCACGACAGGCGCCTTTGGAGCAATTGGATCAAGTTCAGCAAAAAGTCCGGGCCCCAGGAGGTCGCGGGCATCTACGAGAAGATGCTGCTGGTAAGGATTAAATCGAGACCCTAAAACAAATCGACTTTAATGTTCCACTCTCTCTTAGTATCATGGCGATGATCCGAACTTTTGGGTGGACGCCGCCCTGTGGCTTTACGAATACAATCGCCTCAATATAGATCGCGTGAAGGACATTCTGCTCCGTGGCCTGCAGCGGCATCCCGACTCGGAGGCCCTCAACAAATGCTTCTTCGACATTCTGCTCAAGGAGGCAGCGCGTGCTGATCCCGAAAAGAACCTGGCTGAGAACACATTGTCCGAGCAGGACATCAAACTGGAGCGTGTCGAGGCCGTCTATCGCAACAGCATGGCGAACATTACGAGTTTGGACTACTTTGTGAAGCTGCTGGAGAGCTGTGAGGATCACCACGAGATGACCGTCAAGCTGCAGCGTCTGATTATCGACGACATGCAGGAGAAGTTCCCGCGCGAGCCTGGCCTCTGGGATCTGGCGGCACAGCGTGAGCTGCGTGGCTACCATCTCGGAGACGAGGACGAGGAGCCCGACAACAATGAGGAGGAGCCAGCCAGCAAGAAGTCTCGTCCTGCCAGCAATACGCGCTCCCTAAAGCGCCGCATTCAGCTTTGCGTGACCGTCTACAAGTCCGCCGTGGAGGTGCTGCAGACACAGGATATGTGGAGTCTTTATCTGGATGCCATGCTCACTCTAAACAGCGACGGCAAGGCGGAGCGAGCCCTCAAGCAGCAGTGCCTGGCCGATGCCCTGCAAGATGGCCATCGCTCGAAGCTGATGCACGTGCGGCACTATGCGACCCTGAGGAAGATGCTCAGCAGTGCGCCGAGCGGACGGGAGGCCACGGTTACCATTCTCACGGAGGCCCTCAAGAACGACGCCTCGGTGGAGATGCACCAGCTGCTGCTGGGCACACACGTGCAGAATGACAGCGAGTCCCTGATCCATGAGCTGTTCAACAAAGTCCAAAGGACCATGGGCGCCGAAGCCCTGCCGCTGTGGCAGACCGTCATCCTATACTATCGCACGCGTCAGGATAGCCTCGGCAGGAAGCGGCTGGAGGAGATCTACAAGCTGGCCACAGCCTCCGTCTGGCCGGAGTTCGCCGAGCTGCGCTCCGACTATCTGCGTTATCTGTGGCATGCCGAGTCCATGGATGCGGCGCGCACGGAGTACGCCAAGCTGGCCCTACAGCCGCCCATGTCCCTGCAGCTTCATCGTCAAATGGCCCAGCTCGAGAGCAGTCTGGCAGTGCGCGTATGTGTACCATTATATGTCCGATTATATATATAGATAATATTTACATATCTCTGCAGGACAAGGCGGGCATCAAGTACTGGCGCATGTGCTACGAGTTTATGGCCGTTTACTTTGGCAAAACGGAGCCCAGCATCTGGGTGGAGTATCTCACCTTTGAGCGGGACCAGGGCGAAACCAAGAACCTGTCTCTGCTCACCCAGCGCGCACTCACCACCCTGGAGCCCCGGCATGTGCCCGCCTTCGAGGCGGAGCGTGCTCTGGCCTATGTAGGCGCTGCACTCGTTGGCTAAGAAACCGACCAAGGGCCGACTGGATCATTTCTTTTGCTAGCTTGTAAGTCTAAATAGTGTTTCTTTTTCTTCTGATTTTGTACATTTAGATGTCCTCGACTCGCCTATATATTGTTACATTCATATCTTATAATATTCTGCTATCGATTGTGCAAAACAAATTTGTTTTTAATTAGCTCTAGCCTAAGATGAAAATGCCTACAATCCTTTAAAGATTTAAAGTTCATAGTTTCGTTGTAAATTTTTATAATTTTGAAATATTTTTTCAAGTGATTTGATGCTTGTACATACGGAAATGATTTATTGGAACATTTTGTGGCTATTTAAGTACAAGATTTAAGTTTTTGCATATGTATATCTTCTATTCTTGTAAACTCAAAACTATAGAGTAATAATATATAATATAATAATAATATAAAAAAAATATATAATATAATAATATAGTACAATTTGGCGATTTATATTCCTTGTTCGGAATATACATAATTAGCTAAAATATGAATAAAAAATCAAATTCAAATCAATTAATAATTGTCTTTTCCTAAAAATGTAGTTCTTTGTCAAGATCCCTGCGGCTAATACAATTTCTGTACGTCTTGCGAAATCCAGTTCTTAGGAAATTAGTTCAATGTTTCCCCTCAAAATGTATATGAATTAAGCGAAGAAATTATATCGTTATTTAATTGAATGGCCATTATGATTCTTAATTGACATATTCTTATGGAAATGTTAGTGTTTTCCTGTCTATGCGAATTTTCAGGGTATGAAATAATTTCGGTATCTCTTCAATTTGTAGCGACGAAGATGCCTAACAGTCCGAAATCCAACTGATCTCCCATCTGATACAATCTCTGTGTGGTTTTCATTCATTCAGCGCTATGCTCGCATGGGAATACACACCCCTCCCACTGACCGCACTCAGTGTATCCTTTAGATGGGAGTTGGAGCCTGCCAATGGCGTGTCGAATGTCAAAGGCTAACTCCCTGATACCATCTACGCCCCCGTCTCCTTACTCAGCTGCTAATGCTGTTGCTGCTGACGCGTTTCGTGGCTGCCTGCGTTGACGCTGACGCCAGCGCTGTCTCTGTCTCTGTCGCTGTCGCTGCAGCTTGCCCGAGCTTTGGATGCGAGCGGCGGCAAAGCTTTCGGCACTTCGTTTGCGTACGCCGTGGAAACAACACGCACCTCCAAATCCATACCCAGAACACACTGCGAGACACAATCCCCAGTCGAACCGATCCTGAGTTCAGATACATTTGCATCTTAAATCAAATCAAATCGAATCGAATCGATCGCCATGGAGTTCAACAATCGTCTGCTGCTGAAAATCATTGAGCTGGTGAGCAGCCCCTGTATATTCTGTTTTCCTTTTTTTTTTTTTTTTTCCAAAATTTCTATTTGTGACTGTGCTGTGCCATGTATCTAGATATGTACTTATGTATCTGTATCTCTAAGTTTCGTTCCTTCCTGTGGTGTGTGCTGTGCGTCTTAGAACCTGTCTTTCGCTTACGATTTCATCCCTGGCCTTGGAAGCCAACAGAACGAAGCCAGCAAACAGAACCGGTTACCCCCCCCTTTTGTGTTTGTATTTTTCTGGACCAAAACAAATCCCATGACTTCATTGTACACACACTCGTACTCTGTGCAGCGGAGGGTACTCCAAACATATTAAAGTTTCCCCACAGAAGTTTGTCACTACATAAAGTTCAGCTTCGAATTTCACGATTTTAGGGCCATTAGTTTTTGATTTTTAATTATACGTAACTAAAATCTGGCTTTGGCCCATAGAAACTTAAGGTTTTAATGGCAAACGTAGCTAATTTGGCACAAGAAATTCACACACATCTTTTTTATATCCCATAAGTTATTCGTTTGCCAACAAACTTATTCTTATTCTCTTTAATTTTGATCATAATCTTTTTGTTTTCTAAGACTGCTGTTTCGTCTGTTTTCCTGGACAGGATACAGTGTGTATTTATTTATTTCATCATAAATTTTAGCCCGTTAAGAGCAATATTAATCATTTATTAATAATCATAAAACTGCAAAAAAGTCTACAAAATTCTTCCAAATTTCCTCAATCGTAGAGGCACTTAATTTTTATTTTTGCAATTGTTTTATGTGCTTTTTCGTGGCAATATTTAAGAAACAAGTCATTTTATTATTTGAATTAAATATTAGCTACACAGCTCTCAAATTCCATACCTTTAGCTTCATATGTATCTGTTGCAAGATCTACGCTCTAGTCTGTTGCAAGATCTCTTGTCTCGCTAAGTCCTATTTGCGCAGTGTATTCCAAGCTTCGGCCTTCAAAGCGCCGGCATTTCCTTAAACGAATTTGAAGTTTTGTATCTCTTTTTGTCTGCTGTTGTTTTTTTTTGTTGTTTTGTTTGGAGTTATTGCGTAGTTGTTTTGGTTAATGCGTGCTCTCTGGGTTGCGTTGTTTCGGTGTGGTGTGAGTGGCGAAGAGGAGAGGTGTGTGGTTCCCTTGTACGTAGAGCCGGTGATGTCATCGGCTTAGATGAATTGCTACGCTAAACCTAATATAATATTCGGTCATGCCAGGCCTCTGGGGCGGACACACAAAAGAAGGCGAGAGATGAAAGAGAACTTGATTTGTCTTCCGCTGGCAGCAGAAGCAGCAGCAGAATGGCGTTTAGAATGGGCGGATTCCAATGATGATCTTCTACGATATGATGTCACCCACCACACACCATGCCTCGCACTCGCACTCGCACTCGGACTCGGACTCGCCTTCTCTGCCACTCATCCGGACCGATTTGTTACGTTCCGATCTGTTCTCTGGGGGGGGGCGGCAGTTCATTCTTTTCTATTTATTTCCATTGTCTGGACGCTTTAACTCAATTCAAATTGTTTGCTAATTGGCCAGGTGTGTTTATTTGTGGAAAATACTCTCGTCTATATGGAAATTGTCGTAGCATCATTTTCGTTTTCATTATTTTTATATTGCAAAAATTGTCAATTGGGAAATTCGCAAAAACAAATTGAAATGCGTTGTTCGTGGCTGAACTCAATTTACTCTGAGCCTTAATTAAACGATGAAGCTTTCGCTTAACACATTAATCGTTACGTGACATCATTTTTAGAGATTCTGCGTGCGATTAATGGGTAGAGTAGGGGCGTACCATTTGAGAGTTCTATGGCCAGAAATTGTCTGCTGATTGAACTGCCTAATTAGACTGAGCCTAGAGAGAGAAGAGCGGCTTATCATTAATATTTTGAGTCTTCTTTTCTGCTACATGTCTCATGAACAGCCAGGCTGCATGGACTGTAATTCCTGCCTCATATATCCATATATATGTATATCCATGTCTGATTAATATTCTTATAAAAATGCAAACATTATTAACGTTTATTAAGGCTGCCTGTTCCCGTATGAATCATTATTATTTATTGATATTTACCCAAAGAAAATATTTGAATTTTCCCAAGAAGAGCCTTGTCCCATTTCCTCCTACTTGCATCTTTTTTACAAGCCTTTGTTTATGGCCAGATAAGAGAAATTACATTGCATTTGAAATGATTTTTTTTTACTCAAGTATTGGGGCATCATTCGTTTATTTGCTCCATTATTCATTATATGAACAGTACGAGAGCGAGTACGGGAGCGAGTATATGGCTACAGTACTTATATTTGCAATGCTGAGACATCTGTTGCGACCCCCCGACTTTGACTTGTTTATTTACTTTCATCTGTTATCAGACAAACGGATGGGTGAGTCAAAGCGTTGATCACAGCGGACATACATACATACCTACGGAGTATGTACATGCCTACTATATGCATATGTATATGTATGTGCAGGTTGAACGTGCCCTTATTTTCAGTACCTTTTAATGGAAGGAAATTCGTTTCAAATACAGCCTGAAAGCCTACAAGCCAACCGAGGACCGCTGCTGCATTACCCATGTTTGAATAGTCATAAATTAAGGAAATATTTATGTGTAAAGGAGTAACCATGAAAAAAGAGCGGCTCTTAGGTCTACTCACTGCTTAAACTCTCAGAATAGCAGCTTCAAATTATGGCTAAGGTTTTGTATTTAAAGCATTTCGGTTAACACTTTGCTGTGAGCCTCTTGCTTCATCAAAATCTCAAATATTCCACTGCTAAAGCTGCGATCTGCGTTCCGCCTTGATTGCAACTTTTTCTGATGATTGAGTATATCCACACACACACACACACACACACACACACACACACACACACACACATTAATCCCATCAAACCGAGTGACGACGACCCACTTGGGGCGCGTACTCGTAATTTTTATTTGTTTTTGCAATGCGGGTCATGTCCGTCTCTGGCGTCCCTGCCACACCCACAGAACCGCAGTCAGTGGCGCAGCTCATAGCTGAATGTAGTGCCGCGATCACGTTTCATTTGGCTATTGCACTGACTAATCCGAACCGGACCCCGGTTCACTGCTGGCTAAAACGGCAGCAGCAGCAGCAACACCAACAACAACAACAACAACTACAAATGATGTCATCACTCACATGGCCAAAAAAAAAAAATATATGCCAGAGAACATTACGCATACGCATACCGCCATGTGCGAACCGCCTAAAGGTCGACTGGCCTGGCCTGGCCTGGCCGATCCGATGATCGGGCCGACGCGCCGCGCCGTGCCGGGCGGATTGCATTGAGTAAACAACAACCAAGCAGTCGGCGACTCATAAAAAACAGAACGCCCTGGGAATATCTAATGGCTAATGGCCAATGGTTGCCCCCTTGATTATCTATTCATCTAACTATCTGTCTATCTATCTATCAGATTACTCATCCCATCCCCATTACCCACTGAATGGATGGGACTGCACGTTCTTTTATTTTTTGGGGCAAATATTTGTCTCGCACTGCTGCTGGCCATGGTCATGGGCGCGAACAGAGTGAAAATAAGTCACAAGATAGGAGAACCCCCACACCCGCACTCGCACCCGCCAACCCCAACCACCAACCGCCCAACTCAACCTGCAACGGCAGTCGTAAACATATTTACGAGCTAATAAATGTTTTAGCTGCTGCAAATCTGTGCCTTGCCTTCTGCCACATGTATCCGTACTTTTTTTTGTATTTTTTGTTTTTCTAGAATTTCGTTTAATTAATTTCAACCCTGGCCAAGACCCTGCGCTGCCGCTGGCCCTCTCTGTTGAGCTCGTCGGCATGTCAGGTGCCCCGTGCGAGTATAATGAATGGCAATATCAATTGGAATTGGGAAATAAAATTGATCTACGGGCTTTGCTTGTGGCTCCACTGGTAAATGGTTGGAGGGTTCCGTGTGCCCTGTTCCCCTGTTTATTTTTGGGTTCATATTTTGTGTAGACAAGGGGTGCCCCCTTGACAATGCCATGCCCCGAATCAACTGGTCTTGGATACAATAAATGCGGCAGGAAGACAGAAATGTAAACAGTTCTTAGTCATATTTGAGATTAAACAATATACATATGTATATAGTAGCCAAAAGTTTACGTTATTATTTCGTTCATTCATGCAAAAAGATGGAAAAGCACACAGCAAGTATTACATATAGAAAGTGACTTCAATGGAATTTCGAACAAAAGAAGAAGAATATTACAGATTTTTTGTTTGTCACGTCACGTGTCATGCAGCAGCGGCACTCGGTTGTGCTTTGTAATTGAATCTAAACTGCTGTCAAATTAAATGGGTGCGGGGGTGGGGCACCCCATGTTGTGATTCCTACAACATCTGTTGCAAAAACTAATCCCCAATAGATAAACTATATTTGCTGCTGTACTTCCTTCCGCTACATTTTCCATGGAAATTATTTGCTTACCACACAATTTTCCACTATATTTTTCGGTTGGGATTAATGTCATATTTATGAGGGCTACGCTACCGTCGTTTTTTTCCCCCCTGTCACGATTTATGTGCGTGACAATTAAATAATGAAGAATAGTACAAACAATAAAGATATATAGATAGATGTGTGCATGTATATACATATATATATATATGGGATATCTGATAGATATATGAAAGTGGGAGGCGAGTGCAAACATTCGCTAATTATTGACACACATAATTGCTGTGTGCTGTGTGTTGTGTGTGCGAGAAAAGTGGGGGAAAGTCCACACACAAATATGTATATATAGATACAAAGATACAAATATACGCAGAAGGAGATACTATGCCACAATTCAACCCATACACCAAATGATATTCTGTTTTTTTTTATGGCTAATGCAGCGAGCAAATAAAGATAAATATGAGGAGAATATGCGGCGGAACATGGAAATGTGTACAATTTATTTATAAGTATATCCCATTCCCCATTACCACTCCCACTCCCACTCCCCATTACCATTTCTATTCCCATTTCCTGGCAATATTCTCTACTAATGAGCTCTCGGGTTAGGGTCTGTCTCCTTGCATTACAAAATCAACAGAATACTTTGACGCTGCATCCTGGGTATGGGTATGGGGATGGGTATGGGGATGGAAACGAAGGACAAACCAATTAGCGGCAGCGTCTCCTACTCCTAATTGATTGATGGTCACTGTAGGGTGTAGGGTGTAGGGTGTAGGGTGTGTCCACTGTTGACACTGTGCCTTACTGCTGCCCAGCCTAATCAAGCACTCGACACGCCATATCGCTACCATATTTATCGCCTATCAATATCGAAATAATTTTCATATTTGATAAGCAAATTGCCATCGTCCGTCCACTCGTGTGGGGGGGCTTTTGTGCTACTTTGCTTGCCAATTCCTCGATGATGATATACGAGTCTGGAAGCCATGAAGTGCAGGGCGCCCGAGCCCCACCTGACGGTGACAGCCACCCCCCGCCACTTGAGCTGGCCCAATTGATTTACGATTAAATGTCGCTATTGATCAATGAAACTGAGCACTTCCACTGGATATATCAGGGCATCCAATGCCCGGCATTGCTCTGCCAGATGTTGTTCGCCTTTTAGCCTTGTTTTAAACACTTTTAAAGACCATTTGGGTAAGTGTCTGTTTATGGCCTAATTTCCTGTTCTGGCCTGTCCTGTCCTGTCCACACCCTAAGCGCCATGAAAGGGAGCCTGGCATATGGCCGAAATTACAACCCATTAAAACCATGACGCACTACAATTTATCAATCGATTCTGGTGAAACTTTTCAGCCAGGGGATTAATTCGGCTTGCTGGTAATACAGGCACACGGGCACATGATTTTGTAGTGCTATAAATGTGTGGGATATTTATTATTAAATTAAATAATACCTACAAATAATTGTTTAATGGGGAGGGGGCACAACATTGCACGACAATATCCCAATGCAAGGGTTAGCTGTGTTAGGCCTCTGGCTACAACAAATTCCAACAGTCCTAAACCCTTCCAGAGAAAGGACTATCTCTGAGGAAACTCCTCTTCGCTCATCGTTTCATCGAGGATATGTCTGAAATCCTCGAGCGAACGAAAGTCTTTCCATTCTAGTATCCCCATATATTTTCTCTCTATCTAAACTATCTATCTGCCTGTCTACTGCCTGTCTCCGGCCTGTCTCCTGCTGGTCTCCTGCCTGTCTCCTGCCTGTCTCCTGCCTGTCTCCTGCCTGTCTCCTGCCTGTCTCCGGCCTGTCTCCTGCCTGTCTGCTGCCTGTCTGTCTGTCTGTCCATCAGTCTTCCCGTGTCTGTGCCTAACCGAGTACTCAGATACTGAGAGATGATACTGAAACGCTTACCCGAACACAGGCCTTCATCGTCACGAGCATCATCCTGATCGAGAGCGTGGGGGACCACAGATACAGCAGCCAGGCAATGCTGGTGTGCGGCACCCTCACCGGCTACGTGATCATCTGTGCCACACTGGGCATTGGTAATGGAACGGAGTCCTTGAGTCCTTCAGTCCACACAGTCTCACCAATCTGTTCAACCGGTACCGATCCGTCTTTCAGGTCATCTGGTGGGAGCGAACATTGACAAGCGCATCGATGTCCTGTTCTCGGTGGCCGGCGCGATACTCTTTATAGCCAGTGGGGCCGTCGTGCTCGATCGCTGGCTGGACGCCTATGAAACGGAGAGCGACAAGAACAGTGTCCTGGCAGCGGCAATATTCTGTCTGGCCAATGGTGCCATCTTTGTGGGGGATACCTTTGTAGTCCTGAATGCCTGAACAAATAAAATCTAGTCCCAATGCAATGCCAGTGAATTGTTTTAATGGAATGCGGCAGCGGCAGCGGCAGTGGCAGCGTCAGCGGAGGCAACCCAACCCCCCAGGCCCCGCCCAACTGATCTTCGAGACTAATTTTTTGCACCGTTTTCTAGCCATCTAACAAACTTTTCTGTTCTTTTGTGTTCCCACAGGCCATCGCCATTGCCTGCATTGTGATGTACGAGGTGGATGGTGCCCTCTCATCGCGTCCCCTTATCGTTTGCGGCACCATCGGCGGCTTCACGATCATCTGCGGCGTTCTGCTGATCGGTGAGTGTTGCAACTGTGATTAGTCACGGATCGTTGGATGGTTGGATGGTTGGATCGTTGGAAAATAACCCTCTCCCCCTTTCTGTATTTTTCTGTTTGCAGGTCATGTGATCAACTCGCTGGTGGAGAAGCGCCTCAATGCCTTGATCTCGCTGATCGGCTGCATTCTGTTTGTGGCCTCTGGTGCATTGGTCATCGATGAGTGGCATGATGCCGTGCTGCAGAAGGATAGGAAGCGCAATGCCATTGCCGCCGGCTCCCTGATGATCATCAACGGAGCTGTCTTCCTACTGGACACCCTCTCCATCTGCCGAACGTAAAGAGTTCCCAACTCCAAACTCCAACTGCAACTGCAAACCAACCCAATTCACTTATGCATCCATAAACACGCTTCGTCGCTGTCGTCGTTCTTGTTGTCTAAAATTCTCATGGCTTCTGTGTGTTGTGGATCGTCGTAAATGCGCTGAGAGAAGCAAAAGAAAAAAAAAAAATAAGAAAATGAATCTATATATGTATACCCCCCGCCCCAAAACCTAAGTAATTTTTTTTTTTTTGTTTGTTGTTTTTTGATACCTTTATATTTATATACATACAATATACGTGTATACATATATGTACAAGAATATCTCTATCCCATTTATGTATGTAGCACTTAAGCTAATCTCAGATACGCACGAATCAGAATCAGAATCCGAATCAGAATCCGAATCAGAATCAGAATCGTAAATGTGTAATGAACAAAAGGGCAAAACAGAAAAATGAATATCAAATTATTTACAGGAATCCATTAAAAATATATGCACAACACATACAACATTTATTCGTATTCGTATTCATATTTGTACTCGTACTCGTACTCGTACTCTTAGTATATTTATGCTAAACACACACACAGACACACAACATCTGCTGGTCATGTCTTCTTATATCATCATAATTGCCACGCTCCACGCTCCACGCTCCACGCTCCTCTTTCCCTTGGAGTGCTTCCCAGAGAAAATTGCCCATAATTGCAAGCACGAGGGGGCACGCCACACACGAGAGTGTTTCTTGGGAAAGACCAGGAGACTCGTCTTCTCACATGAGAGCAACAACGCCTGACGTCACGTGCCAACTGTTGCAAAACCGAACCTGAACCCTGGACCCTGGACCCTAAACCGCTGCTGGAAAGGTTGTCAACTTTTCACATTGCCACTTTCTCAACTGTTACAATGTAAAGGGTGGCATGGATGCCCATGCCCATGCCCATGCCCATGCGCTCCTCTGGCATCACACAGCTGTGTGAAGCTGTCTAAAAGAGTGTCCAATCCATTCAGCTAGATGGGCTATACGAATACAGACTGCTCTGGAGAGCTTTACTTCTCATAGGACTAGAGGAAGTACATGGTAGATTTTTTTTTTTCACTTGGTAGATGGAATATGCAACAACTAAAGAGTATAATCTGGTGTGTCTATTTGTGGGTATTCTATACATTTATATTCTTGTATTTTCTTTGATGATCGTTCAGATATTGGAATACTTTGGGCATTGTAATTCTATCAACTTCAATTGGTCTCACTGTCTGAACGCATCTTTCGCTTGGCCTTTATGTAGCTTATGTATCAGATTTGTTTTAGATCTCCCAAATATGTGCATATCCGAGAACGCGTCCAACGCTTCCGCTCTCTCCCAAAAGGGTAACTGAAAGCAAACCACTTGCACAAATATTAAAGAAAAATAGGCTGCAGAAATATCCCAAAAATACGTGAAAAATACCAGAAACTGTAAAGAGTTTTCTTAGAGAAATATTATTAAAAAACCAGAATAACTCTATTTTATTTCTTCAGCTATAAAAAACTAAAAAAAAAAAAATACCAACAATGGATTGTTTTCATAGATAACTCTTCAACCAACAGCCAATAATTTAGCTTCACTTAAAAAATGCAAAAAATAATACCAAAAAGGGTTATAAAAATACTAGAAACTATTAATAGTTTTCCACAGGCAAGAGCTAGTTTATTTAAAGAGTTTTCGGATCAAAATTTATATATGCAATCAGCTCCATTTGTGCCCCATGAACCCGGCTTCTCCTTTAACGAAATATATGAAATGTGCTTTACATCGAATGCTTTTTGCAACTGCTTCAAAGGGTATTCAATATTCGCTGCTTGGGAAAGGTGCTGATAGCCCTCCAGCCCTCTCCCTTCTCCTTTGCCACTGGCTGTGGTCTGTTGCCCTGCTGCTGCTGCTACTGCTACTCACTCATGTTGCGCGCTTAGTATAATTAAGCAATTTATTTAATTTCTAATTATTTCTCATCCCATTCCCCCCCATCCAACCCATGGAAACTATGCGAAAAAATTATATAAAAAAATAATAATAAAACCACAACCACCGCAAAATAGACGCGCTGTGGTGCCGGTCTTGCCGGAAGAGCCGAGGAAAAATCAAGTTGAGATAAATCGCTTTTGAGACACTGAGATACAGATGCCACGCCCCCCACCGCCCAAAGACTTGGAACCGAGTTGTGATTTTATATTTAAATATATATACATTTTGTTTGTTTGTTTAATTTTTTGTTCTTTACTAAATGCACAAATATCTGTTAATCTCTGTAAATCTCTGTCTATGTATTTGCTTTGGGAATTGTGATCTGGCTGGCCATCGTCTGTGATGATTGGCAGCAATTACACTCAAGCCTCGAGCTTGAATTTGAGGGTCAGAGTCACAGGAGGTCATGACTTGATTTCAACTGAAAACAACTTGGAAAAGTAGGCTGTAGAGAAATGTAAATGGGAGCTACATTTTTAAGAGCCCTGTTCGGCTCATTAGTTGTCGGGGAGCAGCGCCCTGAACATCAGTTTTAGTTTCACAGTTTTAGTTTTTCCCAAATTGAATTTTTACTTTTTCCACCAAATTCTGTTTTGGAATTAATAAGAAACGCTACACGAAATTCCTGTGAGATGTCCAAGGCCAAGGATGATGCCAAACAGACCATAATGACCTGCGACTTTGAAATTAAGGGACAAATCCCAAAGGAGGCGTTCGAGATGTTCGCTGTGGCCCAGGCAAAGATTTTGGGGTTGCGCGGCTACATCACGCAGGTCTCTGAGGATTGCTTCAAGGGTCAACTGCAGGGTGAGGGCCGTGTGATCGAGGCCTTTAAGCAGCTGATCCTGTCGGCCGCCGAATACGTGGCTGCCGTCAAGGAGTTTGTTATCAAGAACCTCAAGGCAATCGATGACTATACCTACAAGGCCTTCGAGGTAAAGGCCAAGTAGGGCCGGGCAAACACCAAGCTTGAGATCTGCGCCAAAGACTCCGAGTGACCATCCATCCAATCATCCAATTGGGTGAGTTTTAAGAATTTTTTGCATATTTTGGGCCTCACATTATTTTGAGTTAACTGTCACAGGGCGCTGCTCTGTCGAGTTCGAGTTCTATATATTTTTATCCATCAGTTACTATCAGTTCTATCAGTTCGTTGCAAGTTTAAGCAATTTCTACACTAAGCCTGCAATTTGGAAACACGTGAGATCTGCCCTCTGGTTATGCTGCGACCCTTCGTTCGAGTTATATATTGTTTAACAATTACTACACTTTACCTACGATCCCTGGAATGTCCCAGACCATCACCACGGGCAGCCGCGCTTCTTGAAGTGGCGACGACTTCAAGATTCGTGGCAATACCCCGTGGAACCAGCCCAGAGTACACCCAACAGGATGCTACGTAAAACATCAAAACCTTAGAGAACGCCCAAGCCACGGATTTTATATGTAGGGTGACTCAGATCCGTGGCTAGATCCGTGAGAAGTTTTGCGGCCTTCAACCAGCAATCCAGCCGTGGAATTTAAAGTCCAGTTAAGATTCATGCAAAGTAGCATCTAGGAGGAGTATCTCTCTCACCAGAGATGGAAGACAGAAATCGAAAAGCTAAAGGACGAGCCACGGATCTTATAGCAAATGCTTTAAGAACCCTGGTAAAGACTCCAAAGGACCATCCAGGAGTGTTTTAGGGTGAGTTCTAAGAATTATGCTATGGCAAAAAACATTATTTTTAATTACTTATTACACAGCCGAGTTATATATTTTAATACTTACTATTTACTACGATATTGGATCATTGAAACCTGCCCTCTGGTGCTGCTGTGACCACAAGTTCAAGTTATATTTCTTTAACAATTACTACGATATATTCACGATACCTGAGATCTGAGATGTCCAAACTTTAGACGAGCCATGGATCTTGAAGTGGGTGCTTTGAGATCTCTGGTAAAGACTCTGAGGGGTCATTGGGTGAGTTTTGGTTATTAGACACATGAAAACCCCTTTATGGAGAGTTACTTTTTTCAGAGCGCTGCTCCAAACATCAGTTTGAGTTCAACTTTTTACTATGAGTACTACAATTCTATTTTGGAAAATCTACACTGAAAAATACCCAAGATGTCGAGAGCTAAGGAGAACCAAGGCGACCAAGCCGCGGGAAGATACTGGACAACTAACTGAACTTTGGTGTCAGATACAAAAATCTACGAGACACAGAGGAGACTAAGCGGCAGATCTTGAAATCTTTCAGATCTGTGGCAAGAAACTTAAAGAGTTTTTGGCAAAGTACAATCCATCCAAAGAACAGGCCATCCAGCACAACCAAATACCAAAATCAAAAATCTACAGGCTACAACCGAGGCCCGTATCTTGAAGAATTTGTATGCTCTAAGATCTACAACTAAATTCAAAGTAAAAATACTGTGTGGTTCATAAATAAAATCCTCATATAGTACATAAGAAATGTGTGTTGTCTGGATTATTCATGGTTCATTATGGATGGCAGAACCAAGCAGACGCAGCTCTTTCCTTATTCTTATCTTGAGCGTGCATAATGGCTAATGTACTGGCAATGCTTGAGCTTCGTCTATGGTTCATTATGTCATGGGTTTAAAAAGTGTGATCACTAATCACATGATAATAGGGAACGAAAGGAATCAGTTGAAAGATCGCTCATAAAATAGATAAACACGATTGCTGGATGGGTAGTTTATTCTAAAGATCATTAGGCATCAAATGATGATAGTTAGGAGCAATCTACTGATCATCACTAGGAGAGGATAACCCCATACTTTGGGGTGTTTTATTTTTCCTGCTTAAATAACGAATGACCCACGAAAGAGAACCGAATACGCTAGTCTAGGGTTAATCGCAACTAATAAGCTAATGGCATCCGAATGGCGGGAGAGACAGCCTTGAGAAGAGGATTGCCGCCGCCTGGCACTGTGTACTGTGTAGAGAGTGGCGATCGCTGTGATCGGATATCGCATGTTTTAGATTCATAAACCAGCTGCTGCTGCTGTTGCTGCGGTGGTACATAGACATTATGTACTTGAGTGCGACTTCTACTACTTTGACTTCCCGACTACTTGGCATGCAAATCGAAGACATGAGAGATCGACACGATCGAGGGGTATATGAACATACAAGCCAACAGCAGCAGCAGCAGCAACAGCAGCAATGCTGGTGGATGGTTGGTTGGTTATTTATGTATTCGGATACTCGTATTCGCATTTGGCAGGCTTGTTGCACTCTGTTCCCCCTGCTGCTCCCCCTGCTCACTGCTGCCCTGTTCTGCCACAGTCGTCGGATAATGTATCTACGATGATATATGGACAGCTAATCCATCATGGCCCAAGCAACGTTACCATTTTATGGGTCAATTTGCGGACGGATGGCCATTACAGGTGCGCGTGTCTGCTGCGAGAACTAGCAAACATCCATGTAACAGGTAGCTAGCCATCTCTGGCCATTCACTCGTCCAGCCCATATGGGAAAATACCGCAAAATTAGAGGAAATTAGCCCCGTACTGGCCGCAGCGGCTGCTGCTGCTGCTGCCTGCTGCGGTCGAATCAGCTGCGTAATTGCAGCGTTGTGGCAACCCTAGCAGTGCAGGAAAAATCAGCGACAATGATTGCCAATTCAGTGATGACTTAGCTGGAAATAAAAGCACATACTGAAGTATGGGAAAAGTAGAAGAAATGATCCAGGATCAAGGCAGCAAAAATAAGTTATAAAACATTAAAGAGGGTGAGTAGTGGGCCCTTTAAGACCCATAAAGCAAATGGATAAATAACACTGATTGCAGCTTCAAGGGATGATGGCACTTAGCATTCTAGCCGCAAAACAGCTAACTGACCAGCACGGATCGTCAGCTACAAAATGGGTTGGGAGGAAGGGAGCCGCAATCTCAATTGCCGTGGAATCACAGCCGCTGCTCTCTCACTGGTGCTCTCTACTGCTGTGCTGCCTTCTCTCTCATATTCCTACTAGTGCTGCCTGCTGTGCTCTCACAGGTGATTCTGCTACACAGCTAGTGCTGCTCTCTCACTGCTACGACTGCTCTCTGCGACGGCGCCAGGTATGTTCGAGGTATGGCAAACCTCAGCGAGCGTGCTCCCCCAAATCAACACAAAAGCTACACGACAAGAGGCTAGCCAAAAGCTTAGGCCACCGAAGAGCACGATGCTATACCCGCCCATACTTATGCCATGGACTGCGCTACCCACCCGGCGGGCTCATTCGTCTCGGTTGGGTTCGGCTCTGGCTCGGTCCACGGGCACTATGGAGTAAGTTTGCTTTGAGCGCTCGTACGTGAAAGTCCAAGTCGAAGTCGGCGCTGCGTATGCGCAAAAGACTCTCTGGAACCAAAAATTTGAAAGCGCTGGAGTGCAACGGCTTTTTGTTTTTCCTTTATTTTTTTTTGTACACAATTTTTTGTGTTTAATAGCAAAGCTATATTTTTTTGTGGGTTTTGTGCAAAAGTGAAAGAGAGAGAAAATCAAGCAAAATTCATGCATAATTAAAGGGAATATTGCGCCCTTCTTTTTTTTGGAAAACAAAACAAAAATCCATTAAAAATCCAGCAACAAGAATTTGCAACAACAATTTACAAGGCACTCGAAGCGAGTGGAGTCGCACAGTGAGCGAGACTAGAGGAGAGGAGAGGAAGGGGTAAGCGTAAATATAATTTAATTTAATTTCTGAATTTTTTTGTTTTGGAATTGCATTTGAAAATATTCGAACATGACTACTGACACACAAACAGACGGACCAGACAGACAGATACACATACATATACCTAGACATAACCTCATTAAAGTTGTCGCTGTTGTTGTCCTCATTTATCCGGACTCTGAAGTTGAAGTTGGAGCCCCTGTCCCAGCCCCAGCCCCAGAGCACCAGCAAACCTCAGTTCCAGCTTCAGCCCCGAACCGTCTTCGATTATTGAGCCGTTTGACTTTTTCTCAACATCGAACCACCACCACCACGAACGAGCGAAGCGAACCTGTTGGTCCAAGTAGCAAAAAAAAAAAAAAAAAAAAAAAAAACTAAAAAAAGAAGAAAAGAAAAATGATAAAATAAAAAAAAAAACACACAAAAAAAGAGACATTGCCGCGCTGCTCTGGTCAGCCTCTAGAAATATGCGACTCTCCTCTGTCTTTGAGCTCTTTTTATTTCGTTCGTTTGCTCATTTTTTTGCGCCAGAGGAATACCCTAGAAGGAGCTCGAAGGTAGCCTTGGCTTTGGGGAACAATATGGGCGATACTTACAAGCATGCATACGAGCAGCTCTAGATCGTTGTCATTACAGAAAATAAACCTTGCAAAATGTAATATTATATGTGATTAAGAATGAATAGTTAAGCCACAAACCTCAAGGACTCCAAACGCAACGGGTACTGCAATCACATAGCGATGCAGCTTATTGCACAACCCGAAATGATTCCAATGGGGTATTGGGAATGATCTAAACATGATTACCATTACCCTCGATGGTAGAGTATTTTGCATTCCTTCATTTGTTCCTGGACTTATTTTGTTAGCCATGAACTTGCTGCTGTCTCTTGACTGGTGCGCAAGCCTCAATTCTGTACGCTTCAGAGCAATTTTCGTTTTGGATTTGCCCATCCCCCGTTCAGCAGCTGAAAAAAACAAAAAAATATTATTAGACTCTCTGCCGCATCATTATTGCCGCGCTATAAATCTAATTTCTGACTCTGCCAACAATTTGCCACACGATTATTATTATTATTATTTTTTTTTTAATATTATTTTCTTTGTTTCTCCGCACTCACGTCTACTTCTCCGGCTGCGTCTCTGATTCCGATTCCGAGTCCGAAAGGAATTGAAAGTGCGCGCGCATGCGCCGCAATTAAGGCCAAGTGCGAGCGCAAAAAAAAAAACACACACACACACAAAAACAAAAAACAAAACAGCACAAAAGTCATCTGGGAAGGAAAAACAAAACCAAAGTCCAAAAATAAGAGAAAAAAAAAAAATAATAAAAAAGTGGAGGCTGAAGGCTGCTGAAGTGGAGCGAGCGGATTGCTCTCGTCTGGTATTGTGGATTGCGGGCAGAAATTCACTTTTTACGAGAGTACACCTCTTTCTCCTGGTGGTATGTGTGAAGGAGAAGGAGAACCCCACATCGAGTGGCCGAAAAACCTGGTGAAAATCCCCCCATACAGGTTATAAAGATTTATGATCACTTTTGATACTCCTCTCCGTGGGTCCGCGGGTCCGCGGGTCCGCGGGTCCGTTGGTCCGACGCGTCGGTGTGGCTGTGGCCTTTTTTATGTAGGTGAAGCTCACAAGTGAAAGAAGATAAGGTGTTCCGTATGTGGTGGGATTGTGGATAGTGGGACAGTGGTTGACTTCGACTTGACTTTGTCTTGTACTCGTACGATAGATCCAGGTCATCATCATCAACATCATCCGAGTGGAGTCCGAGTGGTCTGCAGTGGCTTGCAGTGTGGAATGGTGTGTGTTGTGGGGCATTAGTTTGGCAGCTTGTGGAGAACACTTCACTTCCATTCAGCAGTCGAGTTTTTGCAGATTACTTCAAGGATAAGTGCCAAATGAATGATTTCTAATTAAAGAATCATTCTTTTGGGTCAATCATTGGTTTGAGATTTTCTCCATCTTCCCCTTCGACACCAAATAAATATTCAATATTTTAATGCATATAATGTATGTACGATTCGTTCAGTTCTCACCAAAGAATGAGCATCGGTGTCTGGCAATAATTATTTACTCAGACAAATAGTTAACCACTTTATATGCAAACACCGTAAATCACGTACATAAACGTTTGCTTAATTGTCGGTTCAAAGCAAAATAATAGTAGAAGACAAACAAGTGAACAAGTTCAATTAAGACTTGTTTTACCAATTAATTAACCTAATCATTTCAGTGCGGAACCTTTGTCCTTTTACTGATTTCCAACACAAACAGATCTGATCTGATCTATCCACTCAATAATAGAGCTCTGTTTGTGCCGAGATATGCCTTTGCTAGGGCTCCGAAAGCATTCGTTTGTTCTATGAGCACACATTCAGTCATGAATAATGGCATTTGATTGGCCTTCAATTTGACATTTAATCCGATAAAGGCATCACTCATTATATTTTTGATTCCAGGGTGAACCCAAGGGGTAGATACAATGGGATTGATGCCTTTGGAGCTAATGCACAACCCTGGAAAATCAGTGGGAATCCTTTGGTACTTCTGACAATACTTCTAAACAATAATAATTTGTAGATCTAGATTTGCTAGATCCATTCCATTCGTATCACTCTTGGTATTTGAACTTTAAACTTAAATTCTGATTTTATTATAAATTTAATTTCATTCATTCCCTAGTCTCCTTTTATGAACCATTCCATTCGTTTCCGTCTTAGATCTCGACTTCAGAACGAACTCCAATCTCCATCTCATTAGGCATTCCGCTTCACTCCATTCCATTCCATTCCATTCCATTAAGTTGTTTTGTTCCGTCGCTTATCGTACGAGTAGTGAATTTAATTACACCGTTTCACAGTATTTTCCCACCATTTCCCCCCGCGCAGATTTCTCGCTGCAACTGGCAAAAACAAAACAAAAATTACAAAAACAATTACCCAGAGACCACAAAGATAACTCTCATTAATAGTATTTTTAATTTTAACGGCAAATACGAGTACTGGTACGAGTGCGAGTGGCGTGGTGGGGAGAGGGAACTGCTATTCGCTATTCATGAGTGTAAAAACGGGTTAGGCACAAACAAATACACCCACACTCACATTCAAATTTCCACAAATCCAATTCAAATCCAAGACCATCCATCCATTCATCTATACGTATGCATAAAATGTATCTTTAAAGTGCCTCTGAACTGTCGATGAATGCGGGTTGTACAATAGATAGTTTTACTCAAAAGCAGAGCACAAATCGTATCCCACTGAATGGTTATTTGGGGCTGTAGCTCTCAATTCACATCCATTCACATGCTCCATATTCGGCATATATAGGCCCGAAACAAATCCCATTGACCTTAAATTACAATGAATATTGCCATTGTCTCAGGGCTTTCGGCTCTTTTTTTGGGGTAATCGGCGTTGGCGTAATGTTTCAAAATTCTTGAATATTTTTGTTAGGGCAAATATTTAAGCCAACATTTTTGTCTATTTACCGAATTGGGCAGACAACAGAAAACAACAAAAGAGATATATATATAGAGGGGGTGAGAGAGGGAGGGTTGTGGGGGTTGTGGGGAGAGGCATTGCGATGTTAATGACAGTCGGAATCATGCAAATCGAGAGGCTGGTTTCGCTCAATATCCGGACAATACACAAAAACGAATATGAAACGCAGACAGCAGCAATGTTGCATGAAGTTTTGGATACACTTGAATGAGTTATATATCATATATGTATGTATATCATGGCAGAACGCAACACTGAAATTTACAAGAGATTCCCATAGGTGAAAGGATATCTTTTCGTGGATTTTCCAACATCAAATAGTTGCAATACTCTCTACTGTTAGATAGGGTATTCTGTTCGAAACGTTTACAAATGCAGAGCGGGCTATGCCCCATGCCACATGCAAGCTTTCACTGATCCATCGAAGCACAACGGGGGCTACGGGGCAGCTGGCCAGCTGTAAGATCTCTGACCAAATCCTAGTCAAAAGATCAGCCAGAAAAAAAAACGTGGGCGAACTTTCCCACGTCCACACACATCACATGGTTGTGGTGGGGGCTAGCTACCGTTCCCATAACCCAAACCCAAACCCATTCCCTCCATTAGTCACGCTCCACCGTTTTGTTGGAACTGACAAAATAGAATGAACTGCAAAACAAATTCAATATTTAACTGTGGCAAACAAATACATACATACTCGCGTACTTTGGCACTTCATGGATGTTGCAACATCAGCAGAAAAATCTGAAATCTGATGAAAAATATGCCATCATCCAGCCATCATCCAGCCACCAGCCATTGCCAGCCATAGCCAGCCAGCCAGCCAGCCCCAAGGGCCCAAAATATTGTGGGAATGGGAATGGAAGGTTGCCCAAAGGTGGCCTTATAAGGGCAGGAATGACCAGGTTCCAGTGTACCAGGAAACCAGTCGTCCCCGCAACCAAGTCTCCAAGGAGTTCCAGTTCCAGTCGCAGGTCCCAACTGAAGGTCCCAAAAAAAAGTTCTCATCACAAAATGTTCTGGCTGTCAAAAGAAGTCGCTCCTCCGCACTGTGCGACTGCACCTTTCACTCACTGACTGCCACAGCCACAGGCACAGCCGCCGGAAGGGGGATTGTCTCTCCAGACATCAGACAGTTTGGAGCTCGGAGTGGAGGAGTGGAGTGTTTGGGCTTCATAAATATCGAATGTGTGTGTGTGTGTTTCGAGTGTCGACAACTCGGTTGAACGTTGCGTATTGGGGGTATTGAGAGTGTGGGAGCTAAAAACTAATTTTAGAATGATTTTAATGGCTTCACGAAAAGTATGACGAAATCGCAGTCAAACTGAAGGATTTCCTTAAACCATTTTTAGGTTTATGTATAGTTCTTAGCTTGGTTCCATTCCATTCGTTTCACATTTCGGATCTCATCTAAGTTTTACCGTTTTATCCATTTCACTCGTTGCACTCTTTGGATCACATTTGTTTCATTCCACTTGTTCCCCAAAATTTGATCCATTCCATTTGTTTCACTGTTGGAACTCTGAACTGCAATCTGCATCCGCCTCAGGAAAAGTATGACGAAATCCCCGTCAAGCAGTCAAGCAAAGATTTCCTGCTCTTAAGCGCCGCCTCAAGGTCGACCTCCGAGCCACTCCCTCCCCGCCGCATCGATGGATCGATCCATTTGTCTAATATTTCGATATATTTATTTACAAATGGGGGTTTCCTCATGGGTGTGTTGCCTCATATGTAGTAACCTAACCCCCACCTACCCCACCTGCCCCATAAAGCCATCCATAAATCCATGAATGCATGACGCTGCCAATGCCTGACGTCACAGTTGAATGCAAGGCGCCGCGCCGCGCCGCGCCGCTCGCGCTGTGTGACCTTTTGCAATCTCATTCCGCTTCGAGCCGCTGCATGATGCAAAACGAAAGTGAAACAAAACAAAAGAAAGAAACGCAAAGAGCGAGAGCGAGAGAGAGAGTGGAAAATGAATATGATTTCAAAATCGAAACCTGAAATCCATTTGCGTCTTAAATGAAAAACTAAAAACATTTGCTAAGCGATAAATTAAAAGCAAAAAGAAAAAAAAAAAACGAAGAAAAATAAATAAAGAAAATCATAATAATAATAGCAACAAAAAAAGAAAAGAAAAGTTTTCCAGCCTTTCGTCACGCTTATAAAGTTTTGAATGCGTCTCTGCCACAGCGACTGCGCAATGGCCCAAAACTCCCAAAAAAAAAAAATAATAATAATAAAAATTAAAAAGTTACCCCACCTCTTTCGACTCTGTCAGTCTCTCCCTCTCTCTCTCTCTCTCTCTCTAGCTCTGTTCGATTTCCAGCTTCGATTGCAATTATCCCTCTACGCTTCGCTCCACTGTCTACTCCGTTGTCTACTTCGTAAATGAATTCAATTAAAAATTCACAATCAACAATAAATAACCGAAAGCTCAGCGCCCAAGCGGCCAAGTCGTACGCTTCGGTTCCGACATTTGAGATATTCGAGCAGCATTCGAATGCAAACCAAACAGGCAAAAACTTCAACAAAACAAAACAAAAAAATCAAAACTAAAAACCAACACACAAATCGCTGGCAGAAAATGGAATGGAATGGAATGGAATGAAATGAAATGCGCGTTGTTGCACAGTGGCCTCAGATTTTTGCCATATTCAAGGTGCGAAAATGTTGTGAAGATTCTTTTAGGCGTAGGCAAATCTAGGCAAATATAGAGGAAAACAAAATATGCGCTTTATATATTTATTCTGTAGAACTGTAGAACATCTTTCCGAATTCTGTTGGATGTATTTTCTCACCCATTATTTGTGCCATTTGCAGCTTAAAATCTTTGCTTATTGCATTTCGGTCAGCTACACATACAGTGGGGTCAAGCAGTAGGCTTCATTTGATAAGAAAACTGAAGGGGCACTTGCATTCCGATAAGAATAACGGACTGAAGTGGGGGCTTTAGTTGGATTACACACACCAGAGTTCTGGTCTTATTTTTCTGGACGGGAAATTTCCTGTATTAATCGTTAGCTTTGATCTGACTTTCTTTTGGGGTTACCGTATCTTTTCATGCATTTGCTGGTTTCTCTATCTTATCGATACCGCTCCGTTCAGTCCAGTTAAGTCCAGTTCCATACATTTATTGAGCAGATCTTTTGCATTGGGTCACTGTGCAGTGTGTTGCGAGTCGCCGGCTGGCTGGCTGGCTGGCTGGCTGGCTGACTAGCTGGCCGTCAGTACGAGTATATATGCATATAAAATCTTTGCCAACTGGCGAGCGTGGGAAAAAGGCATTGGCTAATAATCGCGCAGCCGTTCAGTTCAGTGTGGAGTGGACCGGGCCCCAAACGACGACGATGACTATGACGATATGCAACGCACACACAAATTACTCATACGCCGCGTGGCACCCTCGCCCCATCTATGGACCGCCTCTATGGATCGCTGTCGGTGTTCTTTAGGGTCACTCACACTCTGTTTTTTCGATGCGGATCTTCTGTTGTTATTATGATTTCTGGACACTCCTCCTGCGAACCATACAAAAAAAAAAAAAAAAAAAAAAAAAAAAAAAACCAAAAAGATACTTTCATTCATAGAAACTTTCAAACACACAAAACAATACTCGTAAAAAAAAAAAACAAAAAACAAAAACAACAGCCAAAAGCTTTGACCATCAAGAACTGGCCACCGAAAAGAAGAAACAGGTTTCCATTCCATTCCACACACAAAAAACAAACAACAACAAGAGGGATTTTTTTTTTTGGCTCATAATTTTTGTTGTTATACAGATACAGATTTTGCAGATACATAAACAGATACAGATATTTCTGCAGCTTAAAATCTAACAGTTAGCCGCTAATGTGATTTGTCTTGCCCCAAAACGGGGGGAGTGTGGGGTGTGTGGGGAGTGCCTCTTGCGGCTGCGTGGCTGCATGAGAGAGTGTTTCGCAAGTCCGAAGTAAATAAATTACATTGGCAGTTTAACGACGTTGTCTGTCGGACGGGTCGGTCTGTACGTCGCTCGATTCGTCGTTTTCTCGGCTGGAAATTGTCGCCGATTGTCGGCTTTTGTTTGAGCTCTTGCGGCCGCTCTCATGGTGGGGGCATGGGGCATGGAAAATGAATAGATTGCTGACCATTTAACAGGCCAATAGATACGGATACAAAACAGGCAGAGCTGGCAGAGCTGGCAACCATTCGATACAATGGAACCACACACAACCTGCTGCCTGTCGTCTCCCGACTGTCCCCTGTCGTCTGTCGTCTGTCGTCTGCTGTCTCGGATGGGCTTCAATGCTTTTGCTGTGATGTGATTGACAGTTATCTAACCGTTTTGACTCTTAATACAAGTTTTTAACAGTTAGCCGTACTCGTACTACTCTGTAGTGGCAGTCCAGGAAATACAAACACACACATATCGAACCATCTATCTATCTATCTATGAGGGGTGGGTGGGGTATCGTATCTATTGGTAAGTGGAGCAACAGCAACAGCAACAGCAACTGCAACTGCAATGTAACCTGTTCTACCACTGATAAAACGCAATCGTTGAGTGTTCCGATTGGAAACATACAGGAAACACAACACCACAAGCCATGTATCTGCAACTCTGTAGCTGTAGCTGCATCTGCATCTGCATCTGCATCTTGTGTAGCTGCACTGATTTCCTTAAGGTTTTCCCCATATAACACAAGAGATATTTCTAGCGGAAGGTGACCGGCAGACACCCGAAATATCTTTATAGATCGAAACGAAAAATCATCTAAAAGCTTTGTTCTTTTAACAGATATTATGACTTTGTAGCGACATCCCTTTGTGTGTTTTTCGCAGCGTAAAGATTGATTTTCTGCTTACCAGTTCCATTTCCAAACACTCCCAGCGGCTAGGGTTCGGTCGCTCTTCTTGTAGTTGCATTTCTCAGTTGTTAAAGCTCTGTTTCAGCTTGCCTGTTCCATTGCCAGTTCACTGCTAATGACAAGATATAGATAGAGGGTATATAGGGCACTAATACCCCTCATTCGCATGCCTGCCATGCGTCCCATGGTTTCCTGCAAATAAAACTCTAAAAGTGCGAAATGTTTTCACCATAGAAAATGTCATAGAAATTGAAGCTGTAAAACATTTAACCCCTGACTGTAGTGCCCATGCAACGCCCTTGCCCAATCGCAGGCTTTGCAAAAACCCCCAGACAACCCATTGACCCCTTGTGCGGGTCACGCACTTGACCTTAACCCTAATCGTTTGGCAATCTGCGATCAGGAGATCAGTAGATCGCCGAGAATCAAAGAGCGTAGATCTGGGGCTGGAGAGACAAAGAGAAAGAAAAACCAGTTGCCAGCGGAGGAAGAACCTTACAGCGGAATGGAGTGGAGTGGAGTGCTGCCCCGAAACGATGGTCTCAATAAACCAGCGACAGCGACAGCGCCAGCGCCAGAGCTGAGACGAGTTCCAGTCCGCGAATGCCAGTCCGCGAGTGGAATGGACAGATGGAAATAGTTGTAAAAATATGGGTCGTGCGACAAGAAATGAGAAAGTGCCAGAGTGCCACAGCAGTGCCGGTGCCAGGTCTATGTCCATGGCAAAGCGGTATACACCGTTAAGAGCATAAGACTTTGGGCTTGGCTTAGAAGATCGAATCGAATCTGCGACTAATGGCAGCGGGGGGTAGCAGGCGGACAGGCAGGCAGGCAGGCAAGCAGAGGCAGCCAAGGCAGCCAAGGCAGATGGCAGAAGACCACCAAACGAGAGAGAGACCATAGACCATCATCATTCGAGCATTCGAGCATTCGAGCATTGAGGCATTCGCGATGCTAACGAAGAGCGTGCGAAAATGGAACGTTGGCAAAACGATGGAGAGACCACGACCACTCCAGAAAGAGATCTCCACAGATCCGTCTAGATCCTTCCTCTTGGCGAAGATTCCAGAACAGGTTGCAGCTTCACTTGCCAATAAAAATGGTGATTTTTTACCGAAATGGAGTCTCGCAAGGTCATGCAACCATTTTAGCATAAGAGAACTCTCGAAATAGAAGGTCAATAGAAGGCGACTGAGAAGCAGCTTGTAGATTATCATAAACAGACAAAGACTAAACCCTGGGGAGCGCATCGAAGTTGGCCCAAAAAGCGACGAAAAGGTGACCCACGACTACGCGAAGTATTTGATAGAAGAGGGGAACGCAAAGAACTCAAAAGAAAGAGAACTGACCCAGACATATGTCCATACATTGCGTAGTGGTGACCCCGACACTGCATCCATTTAACGAATGGTGACCCAGAAATAATCTCTCTCTGTTCCTTTTTGGCAGCTCTCGATCAGTCAGCATGTCCGCTGCCACACACATGGCGCTGCCTGTCCACGCCGTTGGATGCCCGCCACCGGGTACACCGCCGGTCGTGTCCATGGGGCCAGGCAAGCGGGGCCACAAGCGCAGCGTTTCGCTGGAGACCAATGCCCCGCTTGCGTTGCGCAGCACCCCCAGCCATCAGTCGCCGTTGCTGCAGTTCTCCCAGGGACATGGCTTTCACACGGGCACGCTGAAGTCGCGCCAGGAGCAGCGGCGCCTCAGCCAGAAGTTTGGCAGTCACAGCAATCTGGATGGGGATGGGAATGCGGATGGTGGTGGCCCACACCAGATGCAGATGCGTTCCAAGTTCCAGAACATCCGGCAAATGTTTGAGCTCAGTCGCAGCTGTGTGGCCGGTAGAGGTGGAGGGGGAGGTGGTGAGGAGCAGCAGTACGCAAACGAGGAGGAGGCGCTACAGTCGCTGCCGGCAATGCTGCTGCCACATCAGCAGCAATCAGTGGCACGACGGACCACACCCATTACCGGAGGAAGTCGATTGGCCATTAACGAGCAGCAGCAGCAGCAGCCCAGCAGCAGCAGCAGCAACAGCAGCAAACTTCGATGGGCGAGGCCATGGAACAGGTGAGGCTTTTTTTGTCTGATATTCAGGGGCTAGGCCTTGATTGAAATTTGATTTTGATTTCTAGAGCACAAATGGAGGTGGTTCAGGTTCGGGGGGTAACTACCTGCGTCCCATTGCCTTCAAGCCGATACCATTTGAGCCGGACTATCGCATTGCATGCCACCAGCAACAGCAGCTGCAACAGCAGCAGCATCTCCAACAGCAGCAGCAGCAACAGCAGCAGCAGCAACAGCAACAGCAGCAGCAGCAGCAACAGCAGTTCCAGCAGCAGTTCCAGCAGCAGCAGCAACAACAGCAACAGTTGCAGCAGCAACATCAGCAGCAGCAAGTCGGACCGATCTCCGGATCGGTGGAAAGATATGGCTATGGCTCCACACCATCGCTGGCACCACTCCAGACGACAGCCGTAACACAGAAGTTTGGCAGTAAGCAAATCGAGCTGAAGCGTGGCAGAAGGGGAAGAACCAACAACGAATCTCCCTCATTTCACAGGCACAACAGATCTGCGACATTTGGCAGCCAGGCGGCGCAATCATCGTGTGCTGCAGCGTGGCAGCAGCAGCACCAGCACCAGCCATGAGGATGCCATGAATCCCGAATGTCTGACAGATGGAGCCAGCAGGTGAGCCAGCAGCGATGCCCCCCACAAGGTATGTGGATTGTATAAGCCAAAGGGGATCATCCATCTTGCAGCAAGAGCAGCGGAACAATGGTCGGGAGTGATCTGACGCCGTCGCCCTCGGACTCGGGCATCTCGGAGCTGGAGGCAGCACTCAAGGATCGCGACTCGGAGCTGTCGTATTTGCGGCAGGCCATGGAACACAATGAGAAAGTAATTTTCAAAGTACAAAAGGTTAAGGCCAGGGTTCCACCGAGACACACCCGACACCACTAACACGCCCCCAACTTTGCCCTTTTTGCTCCTTTCTATTCCCTTCTTTTGTTGTTTTTTTTTTTGTTTCGTGTGCGTTTGGCTGCGGCTTTTAGGACAAGGAGGTCTACTGGGAGCACGAGACGCAACGCCTGAGGCTCTTCTACGAGCGGGAGCAGCGCGAGTATCAGCTGAAGCTGAAGAAAATGGAACAGCTGTTGGCGCTGCAGCAGTTCCAGCTGAAGCAGCACAAGCTGCGCCAGCAGGAGCAGGTGCACAAGCTGCAGCAGCAGCTGGATGCCACACGCTGCAGCAATCAGAATCTAAAGCAGTCCGAGCAGCAGCTCCAGTCCTCGGCCATGGGGCTGCACCAGCAGCTGGAGGACACACGCCAGACGGTGGCCATGCTGCGCTCCCAGTTGGAGGACAGCGAGTGGAAGGTGTGCGAGCGGAATGGGGAGATAGCTTTACTCAAGACGCAGCTGAAGGAGGCGCATGTGAGTCCACACCAGAAGGCACACCCTGAGATCTGTAATTAATCCTTTTGTATTATCTTGTAGATTGAAATCAATGTCAAGGATCATGCGATTGTCAGCCTGAAGCACCACAACACCAACAGCGAAATCACAAGCCAAAGTCAACCAAAGGAGGAGCAGCAGAAGCAGCAGCAGCAGCAGCACCAACACCAACACCAACATCAGCTGCAGCAGCTACAGAAAATCATTGCGCTGAAGGATCAGGTGATTGGAGCACTCACCAACGAACTGGCAAAGCTGCGCAAAGAGCTCTCCGATCTGGCCATTGCCCACGAGTACGGGGAGGAGCCCTGCGGCCGGTACACACGCCTCAAGCAGCAGCTGGACAACCTCAATGAGATCTGCCAGAAGACGCGCAAGTACACATCCGCCGCGGAGGCAAGCGTTCCCGTACCCTTGGAGTTACCCTTGGTGGCTCCACCGGCCCGGCTGGATGCCATCATGCAGCGACTGCAGCTGCAGGACCAGGGACAGGGACAGGGACAGGGCCAGGGACCGGGACAGGGACAGCAGCAGACGCTAGACACGCTCATTGAGGAATCTACTACGTATGCCGAGGACATTGCCAAGCTGAGGGAGAAGCTGGACGATTTTCGCATCAATCTGGAGCTGGAGAAGCGGCAGTGGTGCGCCGAAAAGGACAAGGTCCTCGGCTACCAGAAGCAGCTGCAGGCCCACTACATACACATGTACCAGAAGCTGCGATGCCTGGACAATGCGGTGCCCGGACCGGCAGCTACCGCACCAGCGGAGACAGCCACCGATGTTAACTGAAGATCCGTCCCCACCGGTGGGAGTCAGCATATGGTGCTATTTGTCATTGCACTGCAATTCGATTGCTCCAGGAGCAACCGAACGCCAGTGATGCTCTCTAGTTCTTCCTTAAAAATATTCTAGTTTCGTCCCTGCACTCTGCGGCATCCATTGAGGTCCTATCTGAGAGGTTCCTCACTTCTTTTAGACTACTAAAAGTACATACTGGGAATATGATAGATCGAGAACAGAACAATGGACTCCATCCCTCTCCGATAAATGCAATCAATTATCGCCACAAGCCCGATTGATCCGATTTACACTCTTAAGCGATAAACCACAAACGGCGATAAATAATACAAGATTATCGATTTTACTCAAAAATAAAAGGGGTGTAACGGAGATAAACTCTTGAGTTGATAAACTCTCTATTCTGTCCAATAAATTATCGCCGCTGGCCGATAACCGATAGCCTAAGCGATAAACGATACAAACGGCGTTAAATAATACACGATTATCGATTTTACTCCAAAAGAAGAAGCGGGGGGGGGGCGGTAGAGATGTGAGTGACCTCTCTCTGCGTGAGCATAAAATATTTTTTATGAATATTTAAATTTTGTTTTTATATATGTATTTTTTAATTTATTAAATATATTTACCCAAAAATAATTAAAACAACGGAAGAGAATGAGAATGATAAATAAAATGAAAAAAAAAATGAAACACCAACATTTGTGATTCCGCATGCGCATGGATGAAATCGTATGTATGTTGAATATATAGATATATATTATTGATATCAATCCAATATGTATGTATGTATGTATATGCAATAAAAGATACACCTGGTATAATATGACATGAATAATGGAGAGTGTATTTATTTTTCTAAATTTCAGTTAACAGATCTATTTAATATAATCTGTGGTATCACAGAAAAGAATATACTTTCCCAGACCCATGAAGTGAAATTGCCAGACATATTTAAAATTTATATTTTTTAATCACTTTTAACTTTATTGCGAATTAAAATAAATATGTCAAATATTTGAATTAATCAACCAACGCATTCGACGCCCTGTCAGATATTTGTTGTGCCATTAAAAACATTATACGTATGTTTTACATACGTAATTAAAATAATTAACCACTGAAAATTCAAGTCGATTTCGCTTTAAGCCAGTAAAAAAAATCGCGCCATTAAATTCAAATAAATTACTGATACTGATGCAAACACACAGTGTGGCGCCCTACAGAAAAAGCTCCGCAAATGTATGTAGTGTGTCACTTTTGGGGGTGAGTGTGGCCACAGCGCACAGAATCTGTGGCAAGGAGCGCACACGGACACGGAACACGATACACGGGCTGGGCTGGGCTGGGCTGCTGAAAGTAATTGCAGCAGGCAGCACGCAGCATTACAAAAGTACTCGCACACACGGTTACACATGGCAGGCTGCAGAGCGCTGCTGCCAAATTAGTTTCCGGCTGTTAAAAATGGTTTACAAAATGTGCAAAAAGTGTTGAAGCACTGGAGGAGCATCTGTTGCATACATTGACGACAAGAAATAATTGAAATTTGATCAGAAATTGCACAAAACAAAACAGCGAAGCAAGCAGGTCAGCAAAAAATAATTACAACAATTTTCTTTTTGGTTTTTGTTTTTTTCTTCCATATGCTTGTCGTAGGTATACCTGAAAATAAAGCTCTAGGCTGCCAGGCAGCCTGTTTCGGAAAGCTTTTTGTCCTTTTTGGCTATGGTCCTAATGCCTTTGAAGCTTTTAAGTTGACGCAAATCAATCAGCGCTAAAAAATCCATAGATTCTATATACTTTTCCCATATATATGTATGCGTGTGTGTGTGTGTGTGTGTGTGTGTATGTATCCATAAGATACTGCCTCACTCGATTATCGATTTTAGTCACTTTTTTTTGGTTGCAACAGTTTGAAAACGCAATTTCCATACGCTTAACATCTCATCCCATTTTTGTGCAGCGGAAAATCAAAAGTTTTCCCACGTACCACGGGCCACCCACCTGTTGCTGCGTGAGGCCACCATATCCCGATGCAGCGCTGGGGTCATTGGCCGAAAATTTGGGACTTTCAAGTGAAAAGCGTCGTGGACAAGTGTCTAACAAGCGGAAATATTCAATATTTGGTGCAGTGGCTGGGCCGTATGGATCCGGAGTATACCTGGGAGCATGCGGAGGCGCTTCAATGCCCCAATGCGATAAGTAATTACGAGGCTGCGATGGGATACAATGATCCGCGGATTGTTCTGGGCAAGCGTAATACTTCATCATCGTCATCTTCATCATCATCGTCCTCGTCATCGTCCTCGTCCTCGTCGTCGTCATCGTCGTCGTCATCGTCGTCGTCGTCATCGACATCGGCAGCGACCACAGTCTCGTCCTTGGTATCGACATCGATCTCATTCCAACGGGCAGAAAAGCAGCGCTATTCATCATTTCCAGCGACATCGACGGTCTCATCGAACTCCCCGGAAAAGCTGCGCAACTCGCTACCGGAATCAACATGGGCTTTGTTATCGTCATCGTCATCGGCGTTATCGGAGCAGCCCCCCGAAGAGAAGCACTATGCGTTATCGGAGTCGCCCTCCGAGGACAATTATTATGCGTTATCGTCACCGGACTCACCCCAAGCGCCGGTCAAGAAGCGAAGTCCGTCGCCGCCATGGAAGCCGCCCCCAGCAAAGAAGCGCAAGTCCTTATCGGAAGAGACATGGTCGTACATATCGACATCGATATTGGCAGCGGAATCATTCAAGCTTCCGGTAAAGAAGCGCAATTCATCATTGCCATCGGCATCGGGCTCAACCAAACCGATGATTCCCCATCCCAATCCCCATTATTCCAAGCGCAAGTCCTCATCGTCATCGTCATCGGTATCGGATATACCTGAAAAGAAGCGCAAGTCGTCAGCATCGTCGACCTCCACATCGTATCTACTGGGCAAGCGGAATAGTAGTTCGGAGGATGGTTCCATCTGGGAGTCACCCCTGTCCCCACCATTGGAGGAGAATTCGACATGGGCGTCACCCTTGTCCCCGCCGCCAGAAAAGAAGCGCAAGTCATCGGAGAGGAAGCATAAATCATCCGAAAAGAGGCGTAAGTCATCTGTTAAGAAGCGTAAATTATCTAGAATGTCAATGTATTCGGATATATCCGACTCACCCGTATCCCCACCACCGGAAAAGAGTCTTCAATTATCGCGCATGTCAATGTACTCGGATATATCGGATTCGCCCGCATCTCCGCCACCGGAAAAGAGGCGCAAATCGTCAATGGTGTCGGTGAAATCGGAGCTATCGGATGTATCGGAAGCTACGGCTAAATCGAATCTATCGCAGGCATCGCAGGCCCAAACGGAGGTAAGCGAGCCATGGTATATGCGCACTCTCGATCCAAGTGCTGGGCCGAGGGGCTTCGCCCGTGGCCTAGAACCGTTGAAGGTGCTGGGCGCCACCGAAGCTCTGGGCGACATCATGCACCTGATGCAGTGGAAGGGATGCTCCCAGATCGATCTGGTGTCGCACGAGGAGACCAGCAACTATTGTCCCCATCTGGTCATCGAGTACTACGAGCAGCATCTGTCCTGGCACAATGTGCCCAATCTCACGGATGTCATACTCGGTGTCCATAATTGGAAGAAGAAGGGCTATGTCAACCGATACCGCGATAGATATGGCAAGAAAGGTCCAAGGCCAACCGAAATTCTGTGATTTTTCTATGATGAATCATACGAATAAACAAAACAAAACAAAACAAACAAACAACAACAAGATATCAAATATATATATATATAACCAATAAATGTACACAAATACTAAATGAACGTGTGTGAAAATATCTACTAGAGATGCATAAAATGTAGTTGGTTTTTTTTTTTTTGGAAGAAATAGAAGAAGATGAAAATACTATGAGAAGTAAGGCAGAAAAGATATGAGAGATACTTGTGCGAAAATATCAACTAGAGATACATACAAAGTAGCTGTTTTTTTTTTTGGAAGAAAGAGAAAAAAATATATATGCGCGAATGGATTGAAACGTTGAAGGGACATACAGTATAAGAACCTATAATCTATATACACATTTTTTTTGTGAATTTATTCACCATAAAACTATGTACTAAGACGTACCATGTACTTAGTACGAGACACACAGAGCGAAAGAGAGAGAGCGAGAGATAGAACGAGAAGTAAGAGAATATGTGTATTTTTTTGGAATATCTATGAGATTGTATATGGAGGCAGAGGCAGAGGCAGAGGCGTTGGTTTGGATGGCAGAAAGTTGAACCCGTAATTATAAGTTGTTTTCTTTTTAGTTTGGAAACTATTTCAAAGAAATAATATATGCGCTGTGGTTTGATAGAAAAAATAAAACGGACTTAAAGAATTCAATTTTTTGTGAATTTTTGTTCACCAAAAATGTATATACTAAAAAGATAGTTTTTGAAAAGCGAGAAATACGCGTACGAAATTTATAGATGAAAATTTACCCAGAAACATTTGGTTTTTTGTTCTTGTTTGTTTGACATTTTTGCATCTACAATGAAAAGTTGGCAAAGTTTTTTTTTTACTTTTTAAAAAATGTTTTGAAGAAGACACACCTAAAATACGATTTTTGTGTGAATTTGTACATCAAAATCCTATCAAACAAAAAAAAACAAAAAACAAAAAGAGAGAAGAGAAGAGATCAGATTTGATGAGAGGGTACGTGGCGCGAAGGAATGGAATTTATTTTTGACTTTGAAGGCATACCAAAAACTCATTTTAAAAACCAATATGGGCTAATCCTGCGTTACGGACGTTACAGTCGTACGCAAATTTACTTGTTCAAATTGACACAGCTGGCGTTCACATTGGTATATTTATTTGAAAATAAAATTTAAAAATAGAAGGTTAATTGTTAAAAAAAAAAAAATTATGCTTGCTTACACAGTGTTACCAATTTTTAGTTCAAATTTTTTAATATATATTAGATAACTTACAAGTATGATTTTTATCTTAAATAAAAGTAAGTTGAACAAATTTTAAGTTTTGCTAAACGCTCAATACAGAAACGACTGTTTTACCCACTTTTTTGACCATGAAAAAAACACCCTTTTTTTACACGAATAAATGTAAGCAAGTGGTACGTGTAGGTTAGCCTCTGCCAGGCACAAACAAACCACCGTAAAACCATATTGCGCATATCGTTTGAAGCTTGAATATGTATCCTATTATTCCATTAACAAACATTTAAATTTTTGACAGCTTAACAATTTTTTTTTTGGTTTAAACATGTTTGGATTAGCCCATATTTATGTATGTAGTACGTGTTCTTTAAACCGTACAAAAACCATGCATACGAGTATATCAATGAAATACGATACAGGAATACAAAAAAATATTTCCAGTACATATTCTGGAAAACACACACACAAACACACACACACACAAACACACACACATTTATACACATACGACATGGATGTAATATTATGGCAAGGGGCGTGGGAAAGCCCACCTTGTTTAATCAGCATTAATTAACCACGTTTCAATGTTCTACTCTTGATGTGAATAAAAAATATATGAAAAGTATCAACATTGCGTATGTTTTTTTTTATTGATATGGATTTTTTCCCCTTACAGATGCACCCCATTTGGGATGCCATGAGATTTGATTGAACCCTCACGTTGCGCTTGCCCTGAGATTTGATTGCACCCTAGAGCTGTGCTGCTGCCCTGAGATTTGATTGCACCCTGAGATTTGAAACATGATATATATATGTAAATAAAAGGGGTGTCCGAGCTTTTAATACCCTTTGCAGATGCGTCGTTGCTATAGCAGCAATAATATAATCCATCCATCATCCATTCCATTTTTAGGCAGTTTGTAAGCAAACGCTACAGCAGCTTATTCCGTTCGGTTGGGTTTTACGAGGGTTGCTTTGCATTTTGGGAAACTATTCTTGCAGCTAGTTGGATGTAGACACTTTTCACCCGAAAACAGAACCAAATCTTTAGCACCTGTATATTATATCACTAATATTTGCACATTGTATGGAAAACAACAACAATATTATATATTGGGCGATGTTCGGTGTTGCGGCAGACTTGTTTTATTTTACTTGTACTTTGTCAGGAGCACCAGGAGCACCGCCATTATCGGCACCATCGGCATCAGTAGAAGGCTGTTTGCATAGAGGACAGCCATTGCTCGTTATAAGCCCGATATCTACCATACAATTGTGGCAAAAAACACAGTACATGTGGCCGCACGGCAGCTTCACATTAATAACTCTAAATTCTAGGCACATTGAGCAAATTGCCATTTTGATTTTCAGTCCTGATGAGTTTTTAGATTATTTGCAACATTTTGAGAGTATATCTACATTATCTCACCTTTTGAAAAAACCTTGGGTCAAAAAAACGAAAAAAAAATTTGCAAATTAAAAGAAAACTTCTTAAAATCTTCCCAGCCTTTGACACTTTTACACACTTTTGTGCTGTGTGTGTGAGTGCAAGACCTTGACATTTCGTTAGCTGTCAGCGCGGTTAGTGTTGGTAAACGTTTAAGCCCTGATTGGATTCTGATTGAATATAAAATGCCCTTTTCTTTTATTTTGATAAATAACAAAAAATTTGATTTGACGATAAACTATATTATTATCTTGGACAAATAACATTGTGTATATCTATAAATCCCATGAATCTCTAATCTCGTAATATGCGCAATAAGTTTAAAATAAAACCAATTTGCCATGCAATTCATATTTAACTCAATCCGTATTTAAATTTTTTTAGTTTTTCTTTATTTTTTTACAATTAATTTTAAGCAGTTTTTTGTTTCTTAATTTATTGTTTTAAAAGTTCAAACTACAATGAAACATCTGCCTGATGGAAACGTGAGTAAATATAATATAATATTTTATTGTATATTTATATGCATAAATGTATGTATGTATGTATGTATGTATGTTTGTCAATATGTGGTACTATATTCGTATACAAAAAAAATAAAAAAAATCATATAACAACTAAGATATTTTATTGACGGTTTAGATCTGTCCAGGCAGGCGGTTAAATGACTCGTCCACTGGGGGGACTGTACTTAGATATACAATGATACATACATATATATATATATATGGTGTATACATATGTATGTGCATTTTCTTCTAGAAAAAAAAAATCAACCAAAAAGAAGGAAGAAATCATTTTAAATACAATACAATATATGTTTTACGTGAATTAATAATAATATAAAATATATTTCCAAATGATAAATAAACGCACATGCAAATCCTCGCAGCAGCATTTTCTAAGTCAAACGCGCAGGAGCCTCGCTTCGCCTCGCATCGCATCGCCACACTCTTATATTCGAAACGCATTCACACACACAGAACTCTCACACACACGTACTATATATCTAGTGATGCTTCAGGGGGCATCTCCTTCTGCTGTGCTCTCCTAGCACTCCTCCACATAGGTGGCAGGAAAGATGCCAATGTGATTCCGCAGTGCCCCCAGCCACCAGCCGTCATCCTGCTTGGCATGAACTTCGATGATGTCGCCGGGACTCAGTTCCAGTTCATCGTAGAGCTTTGGTGTGTAGCTGTAGAGCGCCTTGCATCGTCCGAGCACTTGGCCCTGGCCATGGCCGCCCTTCTGCAGATCCTGCGCATTCTGATAGAAATGCTGCGTCGGCATCTGGTTTTGGTTTTGAGACTGCAACTGTGCTCCCTGCTGTCCCTTGATGGGGCCCGCATCCTCCTCGTCCTCGTCCTGTGAGCTGAATTCATCAAAGTCCGAGTCCTGCTGATTGGAGCCGCCATCCGCCTGGCCGCGATCGCTGCCCTGGTGATGGTTGTGGTGGTGAGGGTGATGGTGGTGGTTCGCAGGTATGGTCTTGCATTTGACAGACGCCGCCGCCAGTGCCACAGCGGCCAGCGAGCCGTTCGTCGCGGAGATTATCTTTGGTTGGCTGGTGTTGAAGGTCTCAATGTTGCTCTTGCTCCGATTGAAGTGCTTCAGCGCTGGCCCCCCCGCCGTCGTCACACTGATGTCCGCACAGGAGCTGTTGCTGAGCGCGTTGCCCATCATCTGGGAGCAGGCATCCTCCTCCTGCTCATCATCTTGGGCGCCGGCACCACTCACATCCAGCCCTGTGGACTGCTGCGACTTGTCGTTGTTCTTCAGCCAATTGGGCACCTTCAGAATGCTCTGTTGAAGGCCAGTGCGATCCCGCGTGATCTATGGAGTGGCATAATACGAAAATTCAAATCATTTTTCGACATTCATAAACAAAAATATAACTATTTTTTGTGTGCTTAGATATCGGTATTTGGATTACATTTTATATGCTTTGACTATGGTTCAGAAAGTATACACAAGAAATATCTACAAAGATGATGGAAATTATGGAGAACGTACAACAGATTTATGGTGAGCTTCAACAACCTTTTCATATCTTCAAGGTAAATTGTGATTCATTGTGTTTTTGTGTGCGTTTTTAACAAAAGGAATTTCGTTTCGATCATTTCAATACAAATTTTGATTTAAATTCTTTCGGAATAGAACAAACCGAAGAAGGGTAGTAATTTTGAATCTTTGCACTTTGATTGTTTCTAAGCGTTAACATTGTTTTCCTTTGTTAAAACTAACTTTCAATTGGTTTAAATCCTTTTTGAAAAAATATATTTTGAATGTCTCTATGAGCTGAAAATTTCGTAGCTTTAGATTTGAGATCTTCGATCATCATTTAATGGCTTAAAGATTGAGTTTGGGATTTCCGTGCTCAAATTTGTTGGCTTGGGGCTTGACATTTTCATTGTTTAATACAAATTCGTGGCTTGGGGCTTCAGATCTTCAATTTTCTCATTTCCCATTTCTGCATACAGTTTCGTGTCTTGAGGAGTTTCAGATCTGAATTCTGCCAGACAGCTTCGTGTTGTTGCTATAATCTTAACTGTAAATTTAGCATCCAATATGGATGCAAAGGGAGCCAATAATGCTCTGCTTAGACATAATTCTTAATGGTTCGAAAGGACACAGACACACGCCTTAAAAGGAGCAGGACTGCCTAACCTGAATGTGCTGGGCCAGGGGATGTGTGGTGCGGGGCTTGTGGTCTAGCTCCAGGAGGGCCGACTGCAGCTTGATGCGTGATCCCTCCAGATATGTGAGCATGGATCGAATCTGGCAGAGAGAGAAACATCAATAAGGTAACAGGAGAGTGGGTTGGGGGGAACGGGGACGGTGACGGTGACGGGGACTCACGTGATACAACTTGTCGGTGATGTTTTGGTTCTCCTGGTTATTCAACGACTGTGAGAGGCCGCGGAGGCCGTCGCGTGACTTTCGCTCGCGTTCCAGATCGGTTTTCACCAGCTGCAGGAGCTTGATGAGCGCATGCTTGCGCCGCTCGCGATTCATGGCCAGTGTGGTGTGTTCGCAGTAAAAGTCGGGCAGCAGCTGCTCGCTGGGGCCCTCCGAATGGTGGCGAATATTGCTCACCACCAGCATATCCTTGTCGACATTGCAGGCATCCAGCTGCGGCTGCAGGCGGCAGGTGAGGCCACCGAGTATGGGATTTATATCGGAGATGAGGCGACCGTATTGCTGGGCAAAGTTGTGCATATTCGCGAGACGCTGCTGCTCGTTGGTCTGCAGCTGAGAGCTGCCACGGAGCACGGCCATCTCCCAGTCGACGCGTGCCCGTTCGGCGCGCACACACATTGTGTAGTAATCGACATCTGCACGCTTCACAGCCTCCTCGGCCTTCTTGCGCTTGTTGTCCAGCTTCACGCAGTCCTTCTCCGCGTTCTTCAGCTCCTTTTCGGCGGAGATCTTGTTGGGGCCCTGGTGGAGCATGGCAATGGATGGCGACTTCTGGATGCGCACATCCAGCATGGCGTCCTGCAACTTCTCGTTCTCACGCGCCGCCGTATGTGAGGCCTTCTTGGCCTTGGCCTCCGCTATGCGCCATTCGCTGAGCACCCGAGCGGCCTTATCCACAGTGCTTTCAACCTGGTCGAGCGAGGCAGACAAATGGTTATATACAAGGTTCCATGGGGGCTGGTTCCAGGCGTACTGTACTACTTACCGCCTTGCGCGCCTTGTGGTGACTCTCGACTACCACCTTGAGCGGCTTCACCAGCTCATCGGTGAGGGAGGCCGCCAGCTGGCGGTGGATATCGCTGCGGCTCTCCATTTCGGTGGCCACGCCACGCCAGGCATCCGCCACACTGCCAGGTATCTCGCGACCAGCCTTGTTCAGCTTATTGGCCAGCTTCGAGAGCGATTTGGAGTAGATCAATTCGGTATCGGCACTGGGAACAAGTCACAGATGTAGTGGGTGGAAAGTGTAGTGGTCTCTGGCTTGAGCAACTTACCGCTCCTGCAGGACGAATATGAGCTCCTTGCTAAAGTCTCCGCCCTGCTTGATGTAGCGACGCAGTTCCTCGAATCCATTCTGGCCCTGGAGGGAGTATAAAGAATTGGGACCAGTTAGCAACGAGCTGAAACTCCTGCGTGAACGGTGGCAACGACTACCACCACGATCACGATCACGATCACGTCCATGGCCACGGCCACGGCCAGCCCTCGACGAACAATGATTCCTTTGGTATACCTCATCCTTGAAGCGCTTGGCATTTGGTGACAAATCCTCATCGCTGTTTGCCCTCTGGGACATGGAGGAGTCCAGCAGTTCCGTGCGATTGGTGATATCCTCACAGCTCTCGGTGATGTCGCGCGTCGTGCGATCCGGCGATGGGGACAGACGATTCGCGTCTGTGGTCGATTGATTTAAATTGCTGCGTGAGCGGGCCAGACGCTTGAGGGGCGTCTGCTGGCGGACAGCCTCCTTTAAGCGGATGCCCTCCTCGCCGAGCCAGTGCTTCATGCCATGCCAGCCCTTGCGCAGCTTCTCCCTCTGCTGGGTAAAGTGGATCAGTGTCTGGTTCTTGTTCTTCAGCAGCGTAATGCGCCGCTCGCTGGCAGGCAGCTGATCCCGGTGCTCGCAGTACTCCAGATCCACCTCCTTGGTGAAGTCCTCCGTCTCGTTGATCTGCTGCGTAATCTCCTGCAGCTCGTCAATGGACACCATCAGGTCCTGGGCATTTAGGCTCTGATAGCTAACCGACTTAAAGTCAAAGTCAAAGCTGTGTACCGAGCAGTCGAGGCTCATCTTGGAGCTTTGCTTGGAGCTCGGCTGGGAGGAGCTGCGCTTCGAGCGGCTGTGCAACTGGAACGATTCGATGCTCTTGAAGCGTGGCTGCTGTGACAGGAATCCTGCTACTCCATTGGCGACGGGTGGCATGCCATCATCGACTGGTGTATTTTCCTTGTCGTTCTCCATGTCGCTGGCCGCCAGGCTCAGCTTGCTGTCGCCATACAGCTCCGGCAGCTCGGGCATGTTCAGGCCCGGCCCAAGATGCCCCGGAGCCGTCGCGTTCATGTCCATCGTCATCGATGGCGACTTGTGCAGGTAGACCTTAAGTTCGGTTCGGTGCAAATTCTGCACGGACATGGCCTGCTGCTGGCGGGCAATGTTGGCTCGTCGCATCGGTGGCACCACCATCTTCTCCTCCTTCTCCTCCTTATCCTCCTCCAATAGATCTTTTTTGAAGTCCTTCTGTGACTGTGGCTCTGGCTCATCCTTCAGTGGTTCTTCTTCCTTTTGTGACTGTGGCTCTTCGTGGCCTTCTTCCTGTGGCTGATGTATCGGCGTCTGAAACTCCTCTGGCTCATCCCGTTCATCCCGTTCATCCCGATCCAGCTGCGTACAGCGGGCATCTAAAAACTCCTCCTCGTCGGAACTACGCGGCGTCAGGGTGCGCACAATGGTCGAGGTCTGGGCAATGCCTCCGCCAATTTGCTTGAGTCGCGCCTCGGTCACATCAAAGCGGTCCGTGTCCAATGTGGTGGTCGATATCAGCACCGGGGCACCGATCTCCAGCCGATGGTCGTCCGAGTGGCTGCCGGTCATGTTGTAGCTGCCGGATACCGTTTTGCCGGGCGACTGCCCAGAGCCAGTACGCTCTCCACTGGCGCCAGTCTCCGATCCGGCAGCCGACGGCTGTAGGTTGAGACTCCCCAGGTGGCGGCGACTCAGCTTGCTCCCCAGCACCGAGTACCGTTTGATGCGCGTAATGAAACCTTTGGCACCGCCACCGCCACCGCCACTGCCACTGCCGTTTCCATTTTGGTTATTGTTATTGTTGTTGTTGTTGTTCGTGTTATTGTTGTCCGAGGAAGCGGCGCTGCTGCTGTCCTTGCCGCCGATCTTGAATTTGTGCACCCGTAGGTGATTCATCACGGATTTCTGCGTTGTAGAGAGTGGCAAAATTAGTTTCGGAAACTGCTCGAACTCTATCTCTAGCCCGATCCTCTGCCCATGCCGTGTGTGAGTGCGTCGCTCGCGCCTATAAACGTGCAAATGCATATGTCTGCGTCCCAAATTATTTCTTCTGCTCTGCTTCTGCCTCTTCCTATGTCGGCGCAGCAGTCGACGCAGCAGACCGAATGCGTTCAATTGGAAGACGCAATAGAATAGGACGGCGAAGAGAACGAAACCGAGAACCTTAAGCAACACCGCCGTCGTTTTCGGCTGATGTTCCTGTTCACCAAGAGTTAGCATCGCGTAGTATTAAAAGTATATGTATTATTCGACTTTTGAATGCCGTGTGATTATGTTGTGTGTGGTGTGGGATTTTAAAAACAAATAATTTTAAAAACTTTGTCGTTTTAGACGAATAATTTTTATAAAAAAACCCAAAACTGTTGTTTGTGTACGGTGTAAAAACATAATAAAAATTTTAGTGCTTTTAGTGCTATATATGTATGACATGGAAGTCACAGATATAACCTTTAAAAATTTCATCGTACATATAACTGATATACCCGTTCATACCCTTGAAGATGACGCTTGGAAAAAAGCCGCTGTTCACCTACATAAAAACGCAGATAACATAAACACACACACACACACACACACACATGACACTGCTGTCAGAAGGAGTAACCGAAAGAGAGTGGGAGAGAATCAGGTGCATTGAGAGAGGGGCTAAGACCCCGGTCATGCTCTCTCACACAATGTGTCGCATTGTTGTGACCCCTGCCTTGCCCTGCCCTGCCCTAACTCTGACTCCCTGTCGATGTTGTTCCGCTCCCTCTTTGCTCCAGTTTCGTTGCAGGTAGAGATTACAAAACGGCATTCGGCTTGTTTATTGAAGCGAAGAAAAGACAACGTCGAAGCAGTAGGGTCGTGGTGGGGCCACCCTGATGCTAACCAAAGAAAAAGGAGAAGGAAAAGGCAAGACAGAAGCAGCAAGAGAGGAAGAATAAATTGGGTAAGCCTAGGCTTTGATACCCATGCAGATAATATATTCCCATATCAGTTATGTACAACAGAGATCAGATTTGAATATTATTAGTGAGAGGTGAATAATATTTTATGACAGACCAGACCATAGGCCCTAAACATCTGCTAAAAATCATATCACCTTCTCTGCTAGGGTAGGGTATAAAAATCACTGCGTTGGCCACCGGCTAAAATATATAATGCCGCCTGTGGCGCCCTCATCGACAGCGACGTTAGCGTCAGGCCTCGGCGTCGTCGTCGTCGTCTGTTTGTCTCGGTTTCTGTTTTGTGTCTTGCGGTGCCTGTGGGCATGCACGTGTGTGTGTGTGTGCTGGTGCATTTTGTTTGCTGTCCGGGCAGCGACTTGCGTTTGTGTTTGTGTACACATACGCTGGCTGTCTGCAAGTGACGGCGGCAGTGGCGTCGGATGATCATTACTCTGCCGGTGGCGCTGTTTTTATTTCTTTTTCATTTCTTTGGCTTTCCTTTCCACCCCATCGCTCGCTCGAACGTCATTCCGTGTGGGTAATTATATAAATCATTTATTTATGAACTATTTACTTTTGAGTTAACAGAGATAATTGTTATACTAGAGCAGTGTCCCACACTCTCTCTCTCTCCCTCTCTGCCTGTGCCTCACTGAAGGTAGAATAACATTGCTTTCGTGTACCTTTGGATTCGACACGCCCTCCCCCTGTTGATAAAATGTACAGTTCGTTGATGTCTTAGAGGGTTTAGGGGGTTTAGGGGGTAGGGAGAAGGGAGCTGCTCATTAAGCTTCTGTTGTCGCTATAACTGTGCATTGTTATGTAACCTGGCTTCGTGCCGGTCCCTTACTTGCCCCCGCCTAATCATATAGGGCGGAGAGGGGCTTTGTTACAGTTTCCTCAATTCTAATGGCCGACGTGCGAAACCGTAAAAAGTAAAACAATTTAATTACATTTTTGCACTTGTTGTTGCTGCTGCTGCTGCGTGCGCTAATAGCATTTGCATTTGCATTTGCATTGAAGAAGACCAAGACGAAGAAGAACAAAGCGGAAAGAGGAGACAGAAAAGTTAGCTTCGGGAGTCCGCTCGCTGCCTTTTGGGATACCCTTGCAGACCGATCGTTTCAATAATCATACGATTTACTATCAAGTTACACACAACAGTTTTCAGCTGCATGATATTTCATTTATTCAATTACCCGGTTAGTATTAACTGATACAATATCTGCTGGAAATTGAAGTCACAAGCACAGACTTTCCGTAGTGTTTGCAAAAATCTGAATACTTCCCAGTGCAAGGGTATGATAAAAAGAACACGAGAGGGAGGGAGGGAGCTAATAGAAGTAAACAAGCAGCAACTGCATTTGGTGTGTGGCGGGGGAGCGGAAGCTAGATGGGGGTTTATCATGCTGTCTACGATATGTCACGTTTCTCTAATGGAGCGAAGCGAAGGGTGGAGTGCACAGAGAGGGGAATTGAAGGAGTGTGCGACAAGTGAAGAGACAATTCAACTAATGAGCGGGCTAAGCCGAAAGAAAGCCTCACAAGAGAGAGAGAGAGAGAGAGAGACACAACTTCAGTTGCGGCTAATTGCAAGTGCAAGCATTGCATGAAGCTGGGGAAGCAGTTCCGCAGGTGGGTAGGCAGCCACCAACCCCAACCCGAGAAATGGGTTGAATTGAAGAGCCTGCAATTATGGCCAACCTTCTTCTTTGGCTCCAAAAGTCAAATAACATAAATTATTGCCAGACGGACAGAAAAAATCATACAAAAACCAAAGGATCAGGCAGCCAGAAGAGGAGCCGTGAAAGCAGTTGGAGGCTGCCCGTGGGCTCGCTCGTGTTCTAAAAATAGAGCTGGGCAACTCTCGGATGCAATTGCAGTCACCGCCGCGCCGACAATTGCCAACTCCGACTCCAACTCCGCGTCTTTATGGCAATTTATGATTAATAAAAATAAATTAATCGCGAGAAAAAAAGGGTACGCAGAGGCAGCTAACCAGGAATTGGCTGGCGGAGGGCCATTGAGCCAAGGTCGCGCGCGGGCAGCAATGCAATTACCGTCAAGGCTGTACCATAATGGATGATTAAATATCGATCAGATAATCAGTACCGTCCAGCCCCTCCCCCCTCCCTATTTTGTAATATACCAATTTTTCCATTGTATCTTTCGAATACTTGGCACTTTTTTTTTTTTTATAAATGGAAACTTCCAAATCACAACTCTAGCAAAGGATGATGGGCTTGCAACTGATTCGAAGTCTATTAGCACTTCAGTTCTTATGGGGAAAAGTCAAAGAAATTGGAAACTCCATTTCGAACATCTGTACATATTTATTGGAAAACTACATCTGTAGAAAACATGCTTTTATTGTTGAAGTAAGAAATATTGGCGAAATGTGTGTATATCTAAATAAAATCTGTTCGTACCGTACCCAAGCATTAAGCTCTTGGAAAAACAGCTTTCCCTTGGAAAACAGCTGACTGACTATTACATACAATCTTTTAGAAGGTATTATGCGACTATTTACTCAACACTAATCCCACCCCACGCCACCTCACAATCACACATCCATTCCATTTCTCTCTGGCCGAATCTGGGCAGTGGTTTATGATGCGCATTTATCTCATTAAATGTCTAAAATAATAAATAAAATGTGCGGATATTCTGTTTTGGTGCCAAAGCTAAAAACAAAATCCATCTTCCATAGTGATTGCCCTCTACCCTCGATCTCTCACTCTCGCTCTTCCGCTCTCCGGCTTAATGTGGGGGGCCAAAAATAGAGAATATAGAGAGGAGAGTAGAGTAGAGTAGAGAGAAAACCTTCTTATGGACAATGTCTGTATGCGTCGACGCTTTCTGTTTCACTTAAGCAAATATTTTCACAACTTATCGCAAGATGTTGCGCCAAATGTGCGGCAAGGTCTGAGACCTGAAAAATGCAAAAATTAAACTCGTTAATGAGCAGGGAGTGGGTCGGCAATTAATTGTGAGTAACACGGTTTGTTTTCCTTTGGAAAACATTCATTCCCTGCATACCATTCAAATGGTTCGCCCTCTTTCATCTCTCTCTCTCTGTCTCTCTGTCTGTCTGTCTGTGTCTGTGTCTCTGACTCTTCGTGGGTCACGTTCAAGCGATTGAATGAATGCGAAACGCGATTCAAAGATACAACCTGCCAGATAAGTGTCTGTATCCGTGCGCTACAAATAGATAAACAGATAAACACCGCAACACCACCAGCAGAACGAGCGATAAGAGGTCGGTCGGTCGGTTGGTCGGTTGGTCGGTCGATCCATTATCTTCATTTGAATGAACAGAAAAGAAACTCTCATGTGAGAATATCTAGAGGAAAGGCAAGCAGAGGCATCCATCGGCATCACATGCCTAGAGTAGAGAAATGTATCTGCTGGAATCTCTAGAGGCTGCCGCTGCCCTCTGCCTCTCGACAACTATCTTCTTTCGAGTGCAGTGCGAGGTTCATGTGGGCGGTGACCATTTAACACAATTAACCCGTTTTGGGGTCTACGACTCGATCAATTTGTAAGAGTCATTGACATATGGGACGGACAGCACTGCAACAGCAGCAGCAGCGGCAGCAACAGCAGCAACAGGCGATGGCACAACACGAGAGACAGCTACAACCTTTGGATGTATTTTTAGTAGTCGGGAAAATGCTGATATTATTACATATTGAAATTAAAGCCTGTGCCTTGGGGTCTGATTAGAGAGCAATATCAATTATTTATAGCAAGTATTTTGCCAGGAAAATACTCATTAAAAAGGGCCCTACCAGGGCTTATCAAAAATGTCAAGTGTGTGCTTCGAAAAAAAAACAAAACAAATTGGGAATGATTTGGATTGTATGTTCTGGTATACCCCTAACTAGAATTGTGTCTTTCGTAGGATTCTAATGCAGTATTGAATATCGTTTTGAATAGATATTCATCGATAATTGGTTGGGGTGCCACAGCACAACCCTGGGGCCTCTTTTGTTTTGTCTTGCTTCTATTCTGATGTCGAATGCCGTTAGGCAAAGAAGTGTGACATCGCTCTGGCACCTGCCATCTCGTTGTGTCTCCATCTCTCTTTCTCCCCGTCTCTCTCACGGTCTCTCTCCCTGTCTCTCTGGTTCTTCTGTCTCTGGCACTGGCACTTCGTGCTCTTTTGTCTTTCCATCTTTAAATCTTTGACGGTGTGTCAATCTTGTTAGAAATGCGTTTGGTTCTTTTGAAAAAGGGCAAGACTGCATTTATTTTTATCGACATTCGGTCATTTTGGGCTTATGCTTTGTCTCTTGGCCCCACTGCCTGTGCCGCCTGTGCCGCCTTTGTGCCTCTGCCACTGCCACTGACTGGTGGAATGTGGCACATACACACACATAGAGTAGTGTGATGTGTGTGTGCCTAATTAAGCATAGA